TATCAATATATATATTTAGATGACACTATCAACATTTAATTCACAAAAATGTTAATTAAAATGTTTAAAATGTCATAAAACTAGATATACATTCTGTGTTTATGAGCTACGTGTTTTGGCCACATGGGGCCATCTTCAGGAACACAAATCAACATAAGATACACACAATCAATATGGTGGCACACCCAATGGGGCACAGAGAGGCCGCAATGCAGAAGATAGGAAGAACAGACATCCTATAATATCAAAATTAATAACAATAGCAACAATGTACTTTAAGAGTACTATTGACAAATTGCACAGTGCAGTGGATTCCTTAAATGTGTGTTGCCTGAAGACTGTCCTGTGTGGCAGAAACATGTAGTGCATAAACACAGAATCTTCATATAGTTTTATGACATTTTAAACTTTCTAATGAAGATTTTAGTTAAATAAATGTTGATTAGTGTAATCTAAATCTATACTGATATTGTTGTATTACAGACAGAAGACTACAAGTGATACTTCAATGCAACAGGATGCTGAAATATAATATTATGAACATTTCAATCTAAGTATTCACATCTCTAGCACCAACCTATGCCTTCACATGGTTTGTGTAAAATGTCACCAACACAAAAATATAGCTGTTGATGCTACACAGTCTACATATTCTGGAATACAACAGATGTTGGATTTTGCAACCTGCTAAAATTATCAGACAAGCCAAAACTTAAGATAATTTAAAGACTGCCAGTAAGCTAAAGCAAGTGTCATTTAAGCAAAAAAAAAAAAAAAATCTGTAAAATTCTGAATCTGATTACACAAATCCATTCAAATAAAAATTTATGGCTGAGCACCTATCATCACATGTGAGCAATCAATGTTTTCATTCTGCTCATATTCCATACTCCTCAAGGTTAGCTTATGTCAAGACCCGTCCTTTTTTGGTGAATGTAATCATGGATCTTATTAAAAAAATTAATTCATTAGATTAACTGTTGTTAGTTAACTACGTTCTTCTCATATTCATTCCGGTACATAACAAAATTATATGTATGCCTCATGAAAAGAAAATTTTCAATCACAAATTCGGCAACCCAAGAGACCATATTATGAATTAATTTTTGGTACAGTCTGTTACATATTTTTCTCTTAGACCGTGAAGACTGGTTGTGTCCTACCCTCCACTAACAACTTTGAACAAGCCTGTGCATCATAACCTTAAATTATGAAAAAGCTGTTTTGATAACAAAATCAAACCCCACCGTTACAACATATCTTCTCCTATATCTTACACATGACCAATGCATTTAATATAGCAGAGGCTGATGCATTCATAACTAGTCTTTGTTTTGTTTCATGGTTATCCTTTAATGTACCAAATTAGAACACATTCCGTAATTAACAGAAGTGGACTATTTACCTTGTCTCCGTGTTCCACGAGCGAAATGAAACTTCGAATTTGAATCCTTATAATTTTCGGGTCTAGTATATTCGTTCAAAAAACATACACATACTCTACGCAAACAGCATATTAACATCTCGTCATTCCACAACAATGTACCAAAATTGTATTAGGAAATGTATTAGTGCGCTGAATGTAATACGGTTCTTCCTTGGCGAATGTACTTCCGTTCGGGTACGGAAGCAAATGCGAATGACCAACTATTTTCAATGTCCTAAATAGACAGTTATATCGAACGCTGGATAAGTATAACATAATGCAAAGTGCAAATCTGCATTTGTATTTAATAAATCGACTCTCTGGACGTAACATTCAGGCTGGAGAATTTACAATCCTTCCACTGACTTGCAATAACCTGGAACCATTCAACAGCTGGAAGTTCAAAATTGTTTGTTTCCAGACATTTCACGTTTGGCCACCAGTGGTGAATACGAAAGCTTTACTGGCTTGTTGCTAGATGGCAGTGCGTATAAAACGACGTGTGCTGCCTGCTACATCATGTACAGAACTAGCTCTTCCTGGGGGAATCCTGCTTGAGAAACTGATAATTGTTCAGCTTTACCATTTATGAAACCACGGTCACACGAACACGTCGTTGGATCCTATCCCGAGTAAGCTTAGGGTCTGCATACCGATTGATAATAGTGAAATATTACTAGCAGCTGTTCATAATCTCCAGGTCATGCCTGGATTGATGCGGACATCATTGAACTCTTCAGTTTTAGGCATATGTCTTTTTCCTCAGTTAATCTGGATGCAAAAAATCCCGTTCTGAAATGGTGCAGTTTCAGACCCTTCAGGCGAGATACTTTTGGATTTAATTGATGTAAATGAATCCTAAATTTCAGCGCCACAATGGCCCACCCATTACTCTCCTGCGAGAAATGGTGACGTACTGGACATCATGGCCCATCAGAATGTTAGACTGTCAGGTGTGATTGTTTCTGATATCCTGGACTGAGATCACCTACCAATAGCATTCCACATACTGGATCGCGTTAAAACTATGAAGCTTTCGGAACCAACCGAAGAATTAACAGACTGGGAACGGTGTCAAAGCCTTGCCTCTGATTTAATATCACCTAGAATCTAAATTAAGTCGTAGGAAGAAGCCGATAAAGCGATGTTCAACATTACCTTCTCTATACTTTCTGCTTATAGACTGCCGACAAGTAGCGCTTCGCTTTCGGACACAAATAATCGTGATCTTCCTGGATCAGATCTTTCATCAAAACGCAAGCAGAGACTACAAAAATTGTGGCAAGAAACCCTGGGTCCAGAATGTAAAATGGCAGTCAAATGGGTCAAAGAACCTACCAGAAAAATGATCCACAGAAAGGCACTTAAACGGTGGGAAACGAAAATATGGAGCCGAGGGGTCACACCTCGAGCAATATGGCCTGTAGCGAAATCGCTCACGAAGAGAGGCGGACCAAAATCACCAGCTGATATTCATGGTCCCTCAGGCCTTAAGTATCATCCGTTAGAGAAAGCAAACACAACAGATGACTGTTCGGAAAAGCAGTTCACACCTAATGACCTGTGTGACGACAAAAGGCGGACGGAGGCTAGAGCTGAAGCTCTTCTCAAAACTGCAGACAATAATCCACCCCCACCCCCCCGCAAATAATCAGTCCGCGTGATATATAGAATTAATAAATTAATAAATTCCTTGAAATTGAGAAAGTCATGCGGGATTCACGGAATTCCTAATGAATACCTCAGACCCTCAGAAGAGACCATTGGTGCACCTAACACATTTGATTAATCACTGCTTTCGACGTTCACATTTTCTGACGTCTTGGAAGGAAATAAATGTGATACCCTTACCGAAACAGGAAGGGCCCTAAATTCCCCTCAAATCTACGTCCGATTAGGCTCCTGTCTACGACGGGCAAACTGCCTTAGAAAGTTGTATTGAAAATAGTCCAAAGGCACGTTGAAGAATGAGGCCTGCTTAATCCAAGTCGGTTTGGTTTCGTGCATGGTAGAGCACGACACTACACTGTATGAGGCTTGCGGACCACATGACCTTAAATTTCAACAATAACAACTCTATGACTGCAATATTCTTGGATATCGATAAAGCCTTTTACATTTCATGGCACCTTGGCTTGCTATAGTCTCATCAAGCTTACTAGCTCTTTTCTCTCGCAAAGCATATTCAGAATTTCGGTAGAAGGCGTCTAGGGAAATACAGGGAGGGGTGCACAAGGTTCCATCCTGTCCCCAACATTGTACAGTATTTACACAAATGATACCCTTCCTAAACACCAGGTGTTTATCTGACGCTCTTTGCCGATGATACCTGAATGAATCCCGCGGATTGCAAAGAGGGTTGTGTTCTTGGAAAACAGCATGGTGAACTGAATTCAATTGTGACGTGGTGCAAGGGCTGGAACATTGAAAACAATGAAGATAAAACTCGGGCAATCCCCTTCTCTCAAATACTTAGACCACCTGAGGTTCGTCTCACATTGAACGGACGGAATATCCTCTGTGAACCATGTAAAATACCTCGGTGTAATCTTCGACAAGAGGATTACACGGAGATTGAATAAAAAAATGATCGAATCCAAGAACTTCAGAACATTTCTTAGACTATTCCATATTCAAAAGCGAGCGATTAATCCCTAACATTAAACTAACTCTCTATAAAGCACTAATTAGGTCAGTAGTGACTTGTGCTTGTCCCACCTGAGAATTTGTTGCAGATACCCACCTTTTGAGAATGCATCACTTGCAGACAAGGTTCTCCGTACCACTGGTAAAATAAAAAGTAAAAAAGTAACGCTATCCCTGCACCAGGCCGTGAAGGCCAATAGGGTTGTGAGACGTTGCGGGTCCCACATTATCTAGACAATCGGCTCACAGCAGGCGGTAAGGTTGTCGGCCTTACGCGCCAGCCGCGCTTTACTCACCAGGAAAATTATTTAATTAATTCCTGGTACTCATTTCTGTTACAGGCTGAGTGAAAACCAGGACCATAGTGAGGCTGGAAGGATTAGGTCAACTGAAAAAAATCCAATGACCAACTACGCTATCGCGTTCAATTATATCGACAACCATAACTTCAGAGCTGAGTGAAATACTTATCGGTAACAAAATAAGAACGAAAGGGAGTCCCTAACACGTAAGGATTCTAAGAAACCATCGTAATATGTTTTATATTAGTTTGAGCGAATCGTTATTAAGGATTTGCCATGATTCTCATACTAATATCCCAAATTAAAACTGGAATAATCACGCAGAAATTACATTCTGCTATTATCCTAGTGCTAATAACTCAAAATTGTTGCGGACCGCACGAAGTCACATCAAATTTTTTGTTATCGCCTTTTTTATTTTTTATTGTAGAAACAAATTATTGTAAATACAAAAAAAAAAGAGGCCTAGGCAATGCCCATCCGGCTATCTGTAGCACATTTTGTTATCGTCCTAAGACCGCTCAAGACGCTCAAGACTCGGTGGCTTGGCGACATCTGTTGTGAATAATTGTGTTTACAGTGTACATTTCTCTGCCGTAAGATGTCGCAGTGTATGTTACCTAGAACACCAGGTTGCCAAGCAACCGTCGTGGACGACATGAATGTATGTTGTGTGTTTTTAGAGTAGGAAAAATGAAGGAACATTTAGGTTTGCCGTAGGTGTCAGACTGGAGGATTAGGAAGCCGAAAAAGAAAAAACAGCAATAAATTTAATAAGTTCTGTTTTTAATAGGACTGACGTAAAATGGAAAATATATTTTCCAAAGTGGAAGCCAGCAGCGAAAATGTACTTGAAGTGGATTCTGTGAGCCCATTGGAGTGCCACATAAAATCAGAGGGGTTAGAAAACCAGGAATCCCAAGAACGGCAACTTATAACTCCAGAAGAGTCTGTAGTGAAGAAGGAAAGTGATACTGAGCAAAGATCAGACTCTGATGATAATGATGATGTTCATTTAAATCAGGCAGCAAGTGCTCTAGAAGATATGCTTACAAATGCAGAAGAATTCCCCAATTCGTCAGAAACTGTTCCTGCCACCAAAGGAAGCATTACTCAGCCACTGCAGGGTACATCATTTGAATCAGATATAACAGTACCTAAAGCTGCACTAAGTGATAATAGAAAGGAAAAGAAAAGAGAATCCAGAAGCAGAAAAGAATTGGAAGAGGAAGAAAGAGAAAAAATGCAGTATGTACTAAATATCTCAATCTTACAATTAATCTGAAATGACAGTTATGAAAGCTGCCTTTTTAACTTTGTTACATATGTATATGTTTTACTTCAGTTTGACACATCGGTAGTTTTCATGCCCTTATACTTCAGTATGCATGTGTTTTGTCATTATTATTATTATTATTATTATTATTATTTCTTCCTTATTCCATTACATGTACGAGTATAGTAGGCTTAAGCCTTAGACACAGAATTGTGTCAATTTATCTTGCTAATTCTGTAAAGCCATCCTCAGTGCTTTCTCATTTGAACTCTTTTTTTGCATAGTAGCTAGTGATACAACTGTTTACATAATTATCACCAGAACAGGTACAATAGGACATATGGATTCCGACGTGCCGAGGGGACCTAATATGGATTCCATCTCACACTATATGAAATCTTAACTATTGTAATCTATTGTAAACAATTTTAAGTATTGTAACTTTCTTCTCTTATTGTAATCAGCCAATGTACAGTAACTGGCTTGTCCTATATCATGTAACAAAGATCCATAGAGACGAAATAAATAAATAAAATAATGTGTACTAGCTTTCAGACTTGTAGATTTTATTTGCAAAAGCTTCATTTTACATATATGCCATTGTGTCTTAAAATTATGATTAATTTAATTTAAAATTTTATATTATAACATTGATGTTTTAACTAATACAAACATTTTCTGTCATATATCTTAAATTTCAAAAATATATTTATCCTCTTCTGCACATTGCTTTAAGTTAGCCTTGTGCTATAGCATTGTCACTGACATTTTCAGTTAATATTGTTTTTAATGTGACTTTTATCATTATTTTTTTTCCAAGTCCCTTCAAGCAAATGCTGTGACAGTAGCTCAAATTAGAAATAGCTACTCTCTTCCACATCCTTTCCAGTTCATTGTTCATTAAATAATCCTATCATTCAACACTATGTATTCTGAGATACTGACATTATTAAATAAATCACAAACAAATTGTCAGTGNTAACTAAGCAGGTTGCCTCAAGTATTTGTATTCAAGAGATCCCCACTTTAAATTTTGATGGACTATCCCGGTTGATCGTTTTTTAGTTTTCCAAGTCCCTTCAAGCAAATGCTGTGACAGTAGCTCAAATTAGAAATAGCTACTCTCTTCCACATCCTTTCCAGTTCATTGTTCATTAAATAATCCTATCATTCAACACTATGTATTCTGAGATACTGACATTATTAAATAAATCACAAACAAATTGTCAGTGTGTTTTTAATGCTCATTAATTCAACACACGATGTGGCCAAACCCCAGAAGCTAGAATTAGTCATTAAAATGTGTAATGTATATTAATTATTGAATGTTTTACAGGGTACTGGTATCAAATTTCACAGAGGAGCAGTTGGATAGATATGAAATGTACAGGAGATCCGCCTTTCCGAAAGCTTCAATAAAAAGGGTAATGAAAGGTTTATTATGTGAATATATACTGTCTTCAGTTCCTGTAAGTTCCTGTTTTTCATTAAGCAGTTTCATTGACTGCAAATGTGAACAATCCAGTCTTAGATTTATTTCATTCTGGTCTGTCACACAAATAATATCATGAAACAACACAGCGCGCCTCAAACACATACAGGACAACATCAAAGAACCCTCTTCTCAAGAATGACAAGGTGGCACATGTTCGGCCCCCATCAAGACAAATAATAAGAAAGACGACACGAACCTACTTGGTTCATGAATTCCAATAAAATCTTAACAAACCAATTACAAATATTTTGATGTACTGGAACAGCTGCTGTAATTGTAAAAAACTTTAGATTTTATACCCAATTGTATATTATTAATATTATATGTATATATTTTAACGTTTAGAACATATATTGTAATAGTAACCTCCAACTGTAGTGATGTAAAGGTGTCCCTCTGATAATGGTCTCTGAAGACCAAAACATGTAAGGGCATAAATAATTGAAATAAGGAAAATCTTCACCAGTCACACTGGAGGGAACTGTATAACTTTTCGTAATCCAGTGTTACTGGTATACTTAGGAACATAAAGACTGTTCAAGTTTCTCAGTAGGAATCTACTACCAACATATCATACTGACTGTGAAGAGCAGCAACTTTTAAACTGAAAAGTAAGTGAAGTTTCTTTGAAAAAATATAATTTCTTCCTGGAAAATGCTGCACTAAATTTCCTTTTGTGTGTTTGTATAGCACAATGGTATATGAAACAATTGAGATTTACGTAGTGTAAAGCACACTTTTTTTGGAATTCATGGAAAGGTAAAGTACAATGATTATTGTGCCATATATTTTATGTAAATTTGTGGTCTTAAATCAGAGGTCATCAAGCATACATTATTTTCATTCGCTATGGGCTAGTGATTTTCTTTTTTGAATTTGTTTTACTTCCGAAATAAACATGTCTATCTTTTAACCACTATGTTTCAAACTTTTATTCTGACCCTTGTGACAATGTTGCTTGAAATTCACATAGTCAACCATTTATAATAGTGTTCCAGTGATCTAATTCCCTTCAAAGTAGCATGAACAGTAGCCATGAACCACTGGGCTGATATGCAGGTTATCAATATCAGGAAATCCATTCATTTATACAATATTTTCTGTTTTCCAGTTGATGCAGACTATCACTGGCTGTTCTGTGTCACAGAATGTTGTCATTGCAATGTCTGGCATTGCTAAGGTCTTTGTTGGAGAGATTGTGGAAGAAGGTATGACAGCTTTACAGTTGTAAATTATAAATTTGCACTTTATTGAGAAGTGAGGCAGTATGAAGTGTACATAATGGATATACTATATGTATTTCATCCTGAATGACTAAGCATTGACTTGTCAGTAAGTAGTTACAAGTGGCTGTGTTTTTACTGAATAGCTACTTAAATGTGCATTATGAACTTTTAATGTAGCCCTGTATCCCTTATAGCCCTGATAGCTCAGTTGGTATAGCGATGGGGTATAGATTGGATGGTCAGGGTTTGATTTCTGATGGTGGTAAGAAATTTTTCTCACTTTACAGCATCCAGACTAGCTCTGGGGCCCACTGAGCCTCCTATCCAGTGGGTGCCAAGGTCTCTTTTTCTTTCTTAGTGCAAACTTCTGGGTTGAACTGTGCCATTTCAGGGGCAGAATTTAATAACTGCTTATGAATCAGGATGCCTCATTCAGTAAAGTTACTGGCTTAAGTTGGTTGCCTTGGGTTCAGTCCTCAACGATAGGAGGGACTCTTCTTATTAAGACTGGATCTAGGGCTAAACTCCCATCTGTCCAGTAAATACCAAGAACTCTTTCCCTAGAGTAATGCAGATGAGTGCAAAGCTGAACTAAAAAGAAGAGATATATCAATAACAGTTATTCAATTGCTGTTACTTGAAAATCGTCACCACTGATTTTGATATCTAAAACAGCAGTAATCAAAACTACTATTTATGTTTCACTGCTAGATCCTACTAGCCACAGTACAGGCAATGGTAACTAGATGATGGATGGTGATGGAGTGGTTTGAATCACTGGAACTGGTAATGGTTGACTGGTCACTTGGTTAGCTAAACTGCTGCTGGCCCCTGTCAGCACAGTAATTTTTTGTGTGAGGTCTCGTTGAGAATTATGAACAAGATTTTTGTTCTTTCCTAGACACATAACGTTTTTAGAAGTAGGTCCTCCCCTTTGATGAGTGGAGGGGTTGGTCCTTTTGTGCAATTCTTGGTTCTGAGTCCCATGAGATTCATGACCACATTTTTCTGTCTGAGATTTGAGACTCCACAAGCCTGAATGACCAGGTCCCTGTATATATATCCCCCTGTGACAGGGTGACCCAGTTATACCCCCAGGCACCAGGTTCCCTTTTGTTGCCTTCTAAAAGTCACAGGGCTACTGCCTCCCCACGGGGAAAGGTATTGGAGACTGAAGTTGCTATTTAAATTTCAGTGCTAGACACCAGTAACTGCAGTAGATAGCCAGTAACCATATAGATTCTGGAGTATTTTTAATACAGATTTAAACATATAAGATACTGAAAAGCCTTTGTGATATAGACATATATTTTTACTGTCAATAAATCAGTGTTTTTATTAGGCTCTTATTACATATTTTGTTTTTCTTCAACTAGAGATCTGATTTGTTTTCAGTTCTTATGCTATTATCTTTAAGAGCTTAAAACTATTATAAATGAAACAGTCATTGTTTCTACAAGTTTTTAAACTGAGAATGCATATCTTAAACATGTATACTTAAACCCAATGAAGGATGTCATTAAAAAAAAACCTTAAAAATTAATCCAGTGTCATTAAATAGTAAGTTGTCGAAAGCACAAAAATTAGTTTGCTGTGAATAATAAAGTACCCTTCCTTTTGCATCTCTGTTCCACTCCATCTTTTCCAGGCTTATACATCCACAGCAGAAACAGTAGCAGTGATCACAGTCACTGCTTAAAATCACTATTACGTCCAAGTGATGTTCATTGGTATCATGGGGATTCTGTGCTGAACAGTATTGCTCTTAATGCAAGACATGCTTTTTTATGCAGCATAACTTTTGTTGATGTATTATTAACAGGCAGTCCTCCTAAGGAGAGTGAACTTTATATGTTAAGTAGAAATGAATGGTATGGCAAAATGATGAGATATATAGTCTAGTGGGAAAATAGAAAAAAAAAAAACACTGCAATGTTGTGATCCTTACGAGTGGAAATATCCATAATTGAGGATAATATTTGGATTTAAGAGAAACTGGTAGAAAACAGAAAAGTATAAAACAAAGAACTTTAGTACTTACACTCTTCATCTAATACTGAGAGGATATCTAAATCAAGGATACGGGATGAAATAATCACGTAGGGTGTACAGAGACAGAGAAAAAATATACAAAATCTTTGTGGGGAAACCGAATGGGAAGAGGTTACTTGCAAGACCAACACATATATGGCAGGATTACTCTAAAGGTGTTGTTAGGGAAGTGAGGTAAACTGCACAGAATCCAGTGGTAGGTTTTCAGAAAAATTGTTTAATTTCAGCTTTGGACGTGATGGAAAGACAAGGAGAGGTTGGACCTGTACAGCCTAAACATTTAAGAGAAGCTGTAAGAAGACTTCGTCTTCGTAATGGAATTCCAAATGGACATCCCCGCAGACTGTGGTTTCGGATTTGATTACATGATAAGGATTTACTGTGTTAATTTAATTTGATGTGATATGTGGTGTAAGGGAATTATTGGTACATATACAGATGTCCTCTTTCATCATTGTATTATTTAAAAAGGAAAGAACCTTCCAACATTTTTTAACACTACTGTCCAGTGTATGATCAGTCAAAATATAATACAGACTGAAAAAATAACATTTACAATTTCAGAAATTTCTTTTTAAATAGTCAGGCAAAATACAACATCTGAACATTTAGATATCAAATTACAACTATTTATTTTTATATTGGTTAAAGGTGTTTGATATGTGCACTACTGGTAATTCCATACACATAAAATTGGTATTCTAATTCCATCTATACACTTTGCACCAAAGTGAAACTTCCCTCAACACAACCTGCCTCACAAAATTGTTTGTAAAGTGCATAAATCAGAGAGAGGGACTCACAAAAGCAAGACCGTAACTGCCAAACAGTAATAAATATCTGGTCATGAATTCCAGATGGGGCTCGACACCAAGACTTGCTGACTGACTGACCATCAGTTGCAATGTGACTTTGACTTTGACTTTAAGGACTAAGCGGTCAGGCATGGCCATTCAAGTGACTAGACTGATGTGGTAGCGAATACTGCTAGAAATAGGGCATAATCTACTGTACTGAGCTTGGACTGACAGAGGCCTTGTATATATTGTATACAGAAGTAGGAAGAAAGATTAAATTTGTAAATACTGACAATGGACTTACTGATACAGGCTATGACTGACAAATGACAGATCCGACCTCTCGTCAGAGAGGGCGCCCCAAATGAACAGGACAGTAACTTTCATATAAGAAGAAACATCTTCGACACCAAGACAGACAGACTGACCAACCATCAGTCGCAATGTAACTTTGACTTGACTTATAAGGACTATTACCGCAAGAGTTCAGTGGAAAAATAAATCTCTGGTCGTCGTCCTCAAGGGGCCTGACACCAAGACAAACTGATTAGCAGAAAACCACAGTCGTAAAATAACTCTGACTCTTCAAGAGGTAAAGCCTGTACTGACAGAGGACGCGTGTGTAGTGGAAAAGGAAGAATTTTCGATAACATGTTTTATGTGCGAAATATACACTTGACAAAAGGTCAAGTGTATTCATAAGAGACAAACCCATCTTCTCATCAGAGAGGATGTTACATAAGGACTATTATCGCAGGAGTTCAGTTAGAAAAAAAAATCTCTGGTCCTGGGCCTGAGGGGGCCTGACGCTAGGACAAACTGATTGGCAGTAGACCGCCAGTCGTAGAGTAACTCTGACTCTGGCTCTTCTAGAGTTGGCAGTTGAAAATGATTGAGAAGACCTGACAAAAAAGGAATTAGGCTGTGAAAACGAGACATCATGTGTGTTGCAGTGACATTGAGATTATTATAAATTCATTGCCAGGATATGACTAGTGAAGGCTGAACACTAGTATCTGTGTAACACTGAACTGTGAAGTGTGTACATCAGTGAGAGTGCTGTATCACTTGTAGTTATGAGTTGAGTGCAATAAATCCACTCATCCAATCCAAAACCCTGTCAATAGTCATAACCCTAAATACATGACAGTATTTTTGAAATTTAGTAATTCTCTTACTGTGGTAACATAAAGCAAAATCTGAATTATTAGTGTCTTTTCCATGTATGGGGATTGCCAACAACAAATGAAAAAATTATGTAATTTAACTTTCCAGTGAGAGGAAAGAAAGGAAGAATGAGAAATCTTTGCATACATCTGTTGAAGAATTCTTGATATTGTCATGTGGATGTGTGTGTAGATGGGGTATGGACTGGTGAATAGATTTATTGACCACTTACAGGTCATAACTACAAATATCTATAACGCTATCACTAATGTCTACACTTTGCAGATCACTTTGCTAAGTCTGCTCCAGCCTACAGTGTGTTCACTAGTCATTTCTTGGTAACAGCTCTCAACAATGGACTTCTTCAGCTTCTGTGCTCATGTCATTACTGTCTGTGGCAAAAAGAAGCAAGCCAAGAGGAAAGTACTACCTGAAGATAAAGTTTAAGATATTCAGGCATGGTTAGAGATCAGACCTCATAAACTGTCAAGACACTCTGCACAAGAGTCTGTAATGTCACTGGGATTGGCATTCACAGCCAGAAAACTAATCACATTTTGCATGTATAACATATGCAATAAGATTGTGCGACAGGAATCTACTTCTGCAGCTGGTTGCTATTCATAACTGGTGAGACCTTATCTCATTTGTCACGTCAGATACAAACTATGAATATGGAGTGAAGATAATCATCATGACATTCAACAAGCATCATTACACAGCATAAAAGTAGTGATGTGATATGATGTAGTAAGTGTGTGGCAAATTATTTGCTTCAGAACCTCAGAATGTGTTCCAAAACTTGTCTGTGTGCTGCAGGGCATGCTTGAAGATGGAAGGGGGTCAATTCTATCAGTGGTAAGTATCTGTATATGTTACCACTGTACAGTAATTGGTAATAAAGTTCTGTTTAAGTAGAGACAGTTGGCACCCAATGTAGTGAAAAACCGCTGTGCTTATCCCACTATGGTCGCAAAGTAAACCACCACCACACTATCACAAGCTCCACATTACCATCTCAGCTAAGTGCCCTGTACTTTCTCATGCTCTAATCTTTAGTTCTTAGATAGGAAATGGGAAGATAAGTAATTCTGAACTGAATGGTAGCAAGCATTTCCAGATTTAACCTGGTCTTATTTTAATTATGAATATAATTTTGATTTGTTACTCTAAAGTGAAAGGAGCTGGGATAGCTCAGTCAGTATAGCAATAGGCTATGGGCTGGATGGATGGTGTGTGATTCCTGACAGAGGCAAGAGATTTTTCTCTTCTCCACAGCATCAAGACTGGATCTGGGGTCCACCCAGCCTCCCATTCAATGGGTACCAGGGGCTCTTTCCCTTGGGGTTAAGTGGCTGCATCGTATATTTGCTGCAGTATTTCTTTCATGTGTAACATACTAATGAACAGAGATTAGTTTCTAATCCATACTTATGACACATTTATGTTTGAAGTCAGCCATGTCATATTTATTTTCACACAAACTCCTTGTCTAGGTTCATGTCACAGACATTTAGGTTATTGGTGGGTACTCAGAAATGAGCATTTGAAGCACACATTTAAGATCTTACAATTGAAAACCTACATTCACAATTAAGGGTTCATTAAGTGAAATTATATGAGAGTTATGAAAGTTCAACTTAGCTTATAGTGTTATGGATATACTGGGTTAAATGAACATAAAACCTGAATTCAAATAATGAGAGTAACAAATCAAAATTCCATTCATGAGACAATTATGAGCAGTTTAAAGCCAGGGAATGCCTCCTACTATTCAGTGAAGAATCTTTTGTCTTCTTAGCTGTTACTACAGTGTGTGTGGAACATGCTGTTGCATGTAAGACAGTTATGACATGTAATTCTGTGCAAAAAGCTTTTACATGTGTGGGAACATCCCCACACCACACGCTGTTTCATCAGATTTTCAGACAACATACTCCTAAGTGAATATCACATTGCCAGACATTGCGCTCATATTTATACAGCACTCGCTGTCCAGCCCACCTTCGCATCATCGCTGGCCAATCAGCACTCACAATCGCAACTGCAAGTTTCACTCTGCCCATCAAGCATGGTATAAAAGGCGGAGCCCAAAGCTCGCAATCGTCAGTGATCACATTCAGTTCAGAGAAATCGGTCATCAGAGGCTTCAGCTCTTCACTGCTACCCGACAGCTAATGTAGCAGTCGCAGCTCTTCGGCAACCTGCTCTGCGACCAGGCAGCCAACGTAACTGCCGCAGCTCTCCAGTGGCCATGCCCAGTGACCAGGCAACCAACGCAGCTGCCGCAACTCCAGGAACCAACCGTAGACAGCTTTTTTTCTACCGGCACGTGCAGCACTACATCAGTGGTCCTACAGGCCAGCTGAGCGGCTGTAAGACTTGGCCTACTACAGAGGAGCGAATTCTGCCAGCACACTCGTGGTGGAACAAACTGCCATTTGAGGGCCAGCCAACTTTTGAACAGTTCACATAGCTTTGCAACTATTCTGTAAATTCAATTTGTATGATTTAATATATACAATTGTTACAGTTCTACATGGTTGTCATTTAGAACATTGACAATCCCACACCTGACAAGACTATTAGCATTGGATCTACTGTAACACACAGTCTAGTAATCAATGTGGATGCATTATGTTGTTTATAAATGCCTGATGATGGTTGTAAATGACAAAAACATGTGGCAAAATAATATCTTAATAAAACCAATTGATTTTATGAACAATTTGAGTCTATCACTTATAAAAGAACGGGGTCCACTCAGCCTCGTGAGGATAATTGAGGAACTGTTTCAAGGAAATAGCAGCTCAGGTCTAGAAAACTGAGATTAACAGCTGTGGGGATCCATTGCGCCGACCACGTGACACCCTCTATCTGCAAAAGTTGGTACTAACTTCGCTGAAAAGCAGCAGTTGCTTGGTTGGTATAGTTCGCTTGTGGACTACAGGCCACGGAGATTTTTTTTTTTTTGTAAAACTGTGATCAACAAGACACATTTCCATAGTAATGACATGCACAACAGGATGCAAAGAATATGAATGGAGACTGTCAGCTGTTATCTGCAAACATAAAAGAATTCACAAAACTATCATCTATCATTCTATTTTGTATTTATTTATATGTGCTTTAGTTAATGATGCTGTCAGTAAATCATATTATATAGCATTAAATGAGAGGATGATAGTGAATAATGAATAATGAAATTATGAGGAAAAAACAGTTATGTCTTAATTAAAGTACTGTCATTTGTCTGGAATGATTGAGGGAAACTACTGAAAGCTTCAATGTGGATGGTTGGTGTTCAGCCAAGACTTAAAATGTGTACCTTCCAAATATAAGTCAGAAGCATTACTGCTTATGCCATTGTGCTCGGTTACCTGTACTTCGGAATGGGTGTAGAACGTGATCTCTCATACTGAAGGAAGCACACCAGGGGTGTCTGAGAACAGAGTGCTGTCAAGGAGTACAAAATGAGTGCAACATATAGTATGCATGGAAGCAATGATTAATTCGTACATTTTGGTCAAGAGCCTGAAGGAACAACGCCACTTGGAAGACCTAGGTGCAGATGGAAAGGTAATATTAAAATGGATCTTAAAGAGTCAGGAATGGGACGATGTTTAATGACCAGTACCGGGCTCTACTGAGCACAGAAATAAACCTGCTAGTGCCATAAAAGGCGGGGATGTTCTAGAATGGCTGAGTGCCTACTAAATTCTCCAGGAAAAACGCCATGGCCGTTTCCTTCCAAACCCCCTCCTATTCATAATTATTCATCCGACGCCATATAGTCTCGATATAACAGCCTCGTTAAATAATTAAATTTGAAAAGTTATCCCTTAATATTGCGTGTCTTAGTATATTCCTAGTTTTCACGTAGAATGTCTGCTTCTGTAGCGTATACAGATCTTAAATAATCTTATGAAACACATTATGCTGGACAGTATTTATGCTGTTTGGTCCCAAGTTTCGACTATAACTATTACAAACATCAGCCACCGCTCATATATGCACATGGCGGAAGTCTACGATCACGGATCAGCTGATGGAAATGTGTACTGGTTAATTACTGTTATCATTATAAAAAATAATTGACGAAAGAAAACATACAACATTCCTGTTTCACTGACAGCGAAAACATACTACCGCGATGACCCTATCTAAATATAAGTGGGTAAATATGACCTCAAATAAAGCAAGACTAATTATTAATCGTTGCTGAGCATACAATGTGTGGATCACCTACGTAATATGTATGCTGCATCCCTGTGATTTATGAGAAAAAGTATAATCCAGAGCGATCCAAAGATTACAAGTTGTTCGCAGCCGTACTCTGTTTGTAAGTGACGCGAAAGCAGTATCTTATTTATCTCACGCGGGAAGAGAGAGAGAATAACGTTTTACGAAGGTCTAGGGCCAGGGGCAGATATAGACGTAAGTTTTTTTTTTTTCGCTGTTGTAGATCAAAGGGCTATTATCAATTAATGGACTTGAACCAATGGCAGGGTATTGACCTAGACAGAAAAAAGAACTCGATTTATTTATTAATCAAGCAACAGAATGTCAGTTCGTGCATTTGTCTCTCAATTTGAAGCTGTTTCTCTTGGGAATTCGTAGCTTTGTCATAATGCGGTTTAAACAAAGTTTCTTCATCCTTGCAGTTCTCGTATTTGGTAAGAAAATATTATTTCACAAATATAAAATTAAAGTTTCTAATACATTAACAGCATTCCGTTTATAAGATAATTAATATGACAACAGTTTTTGGACAAGGAAGTAAGGATTAATGATACCGAGTGTCTAAAAATTTAACTCGACTTTACTATTTTAAACCTCAAATGGCATAGGGCGTGTTTTATTACATGCAAAACGTTATTTTGCTGTTAATCCAGCAGGCTCATAAATAATACCCAACATTTTAATTATAATTAGTTTCGACGTAATTTAAGCAAGTGCATTTCGTGTTAAATTGTCAATCAATGCGACGATTATTTAAAAGAATGTAACCAACCCCAGCAATATAAAACAGTCGGTATTACGACCCATTTATTTCGCAATGGAGGTAAAGGTTTTGTAACATCAGTCTTTCATGTGCAAACAAATACAAATGTAATTAAATGCGATCTTTATTTTAAGGCTGAATATGAAAATTCTTGTACATTGAGTGTTATCAGTACAAAATGAAAATAAATACAGCGATAGTGACCCTTAGTAACATGTCATCAGTTTTCAAACAAAATCATGATTAATTCCTTTATTCGATTTAAGGAAACCTTAGCCTTAATAATAGGCTTTCCTTCCAAATATTCTAGACATAGCTACTGATCCTACCGATAGTCTTCTTATTGTGGTAACATGTTATTCCCAGGACTTCTTCAGTACCTTCATGGTCCATCTTTCAGTATCCTGTGATTTCTATGTGGAAACTTATTTTTACTATTTTATTTTTTCATTTGCCCCTTCTGTAATGTTATTGGTTCCATATAAGAACATAGAATTTTAGTGCATTTTACTTTCAATGTTTATAGAAGTATGATATATATCTCAAATAAAGACAGAACAAGTTTGTGTCTTTTTCAACCATACGCTGCTGTTATCAGTCCAGTGACGCGAGTTCTCAAGGATAATGAATGCAAAGTGCAGATGCAGAGTTGATCATAAACTTCCTGTTTTCTTGACTTTTACAGTAATGGAGACCTGTCAAGGCTGTGAACAAGACCAGACACGTCAAGGTTGTCGAATTCAAAATGGAGTGTGCCTTTGTGGGATTGGTTGTTATTCTGAATACCGCTACACTACAAAAGAGGAATGCAGGAAAGCTTTAAGAGGTTACTACAAATATGTTAAATTACTAATCAGTTGTCACTGATTGCTTAAAACATAACTTTCTTAATCTGTAACCAGTGAAATGCCAGGTCAGAGTGGGTAATAAATTCATGATGCAAAAATCTTTATTTGAATCTGTCGCAACACGACAACGAGACAGCCGAGGTCAGTATTACCTTAGCTACAAATTTCAGCTAAGGTAATATTGACCTTGACTGTCTCGTTGTGTTGCTATGGATTCTAATAAAGATTTTTCTATAATAAGCATAACAGGATGCACTCAATGAAAATTTCATGATGGGTTTACTTTACAGAAATGTTGTATGTTTATATTTAGGTAGCCGCAGAGATGTGTGTCAGCGGAACCCTTGCCGCAATGGAGGTGCCTGCAGTCAAACATCATTTGAACCAGGCTATCGTTGCCGCTGTGAGGGAACTGGTTATTATGGAAGTCGTTGCCAACATGGTAAAACTTGATCATCTATGTTCTTATATGAAAATTATATTCTCAGTAGTTCTTTTGCTTAAAATATCCTGAGACCTTGCACATTCGTCACGATTTTGTATTTTTTTATTCAAAGGCATCAGTTATAAAAGAGTTTTCCAAAATTCTGAATTAAACAAAGGTTTATGTGTGTGGAGGTACTTTAAATTCACCCACCTACAAGTTGTTGTGCATTCAAAAAGTACTTCATCTGGGGGGGGGGGGGGAAATCCCAGATTTTAATGATAACATTCACTGATATGTTGAATGTAAAAAAGTGAATATAAATTTATTGTGAAGTTCACACATAGTGTTACTGCATTAAAAATCAGATGGTCACATTGTAAAACTTGTAATAAAAGTTGATGTTCTTATGGCAGTGACTGTGAAGATTACTGTGTTCTGGGATGTTATGCCATGTATTCTGGAAGACTGTTCAGTTGTGTTGTCAGTATTCTGGCACATTAGAGGCCTTTGGAGTCCTAAACTGTATCTTACTGTTCATTAACATTTACTGTTTTTTGGTAGCATTGGCCGCATGTGTCTAATATTTATTGTGTCACTACGAGCATAACTTTTCATAGGAGCGTATCGTTCAGCCACAATTTATCCGTCAACAGCAGAACTATAATTCAAAATGCTTTTCTTCAACTTCTTATCTTTATGTTACAGGGGAAGTATTAAATTCAGGCATTGTATAGAATAACTGAGTTTTAGGCAAACTGCTAGATTTGCAGGTCATCACTATTATCTCTACGCTTTGTCTGAATATTCTATGGAATCCATAGAATAATTTGGGGAAAGTGTTAATATGATGAAGAAATACAGGGTTAGCCTAAAAGAAATAGACAGTTTAAATGACTTATGTTCATGAAACTTAAACGTGCAGCCCAAAAAAGTCGACAACATGTGCAAGTTTAGAACTTCAAGTTCCACAAAAGACTGTGTGGAATATCTTGCGTAAACGTTTACGAATGTTGCCTTACCGGTTGCAATTATTGCAGAACCTCACTGAAAACGACAAAACCCTCCGTCACTCATTCTGTATGGACATGCAGCAATGGAATGAAGGAAGTAATGATTTCTTTAGCCGGCAGTTTTCGGTGACGAATCAACATTGCACATTAGTGTTATTGTGAACAAACACAACATTCATATATGGGGAACTAAAAACCCAAGAGCTGTAGTAGAGCATGTGAGGGATTCACCTAAAGTGAACGTTTTTTGTGCTGTATCCTGTAAAGAGGTGTACCCATGTAAACTTCAGGGCGTACTTTTCAAACCATGTAAGTATCTCGGCCATGCTATTAAAGTTCTTCTTTCTGTAAAACTTTGAAAGTGTCTATTTCTTTTAAGCTAACCCTGTGCTATTGAAACACAAATACATGATTTATATTCTACTACCACCATTGTGGTACTGCTACTACTTATTAAGGTAAATGCACTGATACTGCTGCAAATAAAAAGCACAGTAAATATTACGAGTAGACCAAACACTGGTTATTTTCTGAAGTCTAAATCTGTAAACTTTGCAAAAATGCACAAATGTTCATTCTAATAGGTATTTGTAATACTCAAAAATGGCTGAAATACGTATCTTGAAATCCATTTCCTAAACTTTTAATTATGTATATTACTATACAGCACTTAAATCTAAAAGAATGCATATAAGACAGTATTTATTCCAAAGAGTTCTGTCTTCTGGAACATGACACTATGTAGATCACTGAAAGTTAGCCAACATTTCATGACAACTGTCACCTTCATCTTCAGGGTTGAAGAGTGAGTCAAGAAAGAAACTTTATTTGCTGATTTCTTGCTTGGCTTACTCTTCAACCCTGAAGATGGAGGTGATGTTTTCCTTCAAAATCACTCAACTTTCAGTGGATTCTGTGACATGTCCTGAAAGGTAGAATTCTTCATAATCACCACTGTGAGAACCTCATATCCTACATATGTATTCCTTTTGGCACATTTGTGAGGAAAAGTTGCAAAAACACATGCTGGCTTTGCCATATTTGTCTGTGGCCCAACTTGAGATCCAGTAACCAGATTTTTATAAAATTTGATATTGGGAAGAAGTACTAAAATTTGTCAGCACAGTTCAGTGTGTTGTCTAACAGTACCTTTTCATACCATTACCTATAAACATCTTGTGACACACAGCTACAAGTGCAGTTGGTGCAAAAAGTTGTGGAAAAGAAGTCATAGTTAGGTAGGAAAGTTCATTATGATGAAAGTGCCAGAAAGAAAGCTCTCACTTAAGCACAGTTTTCTGTATATGTACTGTTAAGAAATGCTCACTATAATCAAGTTCTTGGTATCAGCCATATCTTTCCTATCAGGGTTACATTGTATTAATCAACAAAAAATTATTTACACCAAGTTGGTTAGTTATTTGTAAGAGTGGGGTGTTACCGAGTTCCTTTGTAGTGCAGCCTTAAATGGGCCTCCTGTACCATCCCCTGATGATAGACGAGTATGGAGCACTGGTAAAATTACAACTGGCACGTGAAAACCAAAGCACTTAGGGAACACCTGCATCAATCCCACTTTGTCACTACAAACCCTACATGGAATACCCTGGGACCAATCCCAGAGCTCCACAGTGAGAAGCCAGTGATCAGTGGAGCTATGGCACAGATGTAGGTTAGGTGTTTCACACCCTGCCTGAGGTTTCCGGGCAATTTGTACAATGACTAGTAACTTTATAAAAAGGTAAAGCTGTCCCTGTAACAGGCTGTGAAGGTCCATAGGGTTGTGAGACATCAAGGCTCCTGCATTTTCTGTGGAGTCAGGTCATAGATGGTGGTAATGTTGTCAGCCTTACGCACAGGCCACCCTTTACCTCCCAGGAAGATTCCTGATACTAATTTCTGTTAGAGGCTGAGTCGACCACAGGGTGGTAAATGGAAAAAAATCCACCTCATCGCGACTTGAATCCATGACCTTCCAGCTTGTAACATAGTGCAATAACTGTATACAGTGCACATCAAACATTTTGATGTTGGGTACATAGTACAAAACTACACTGCTTCCATCTTCCACAGATAAGTTTCTCTTCATGTTGCATAACCAACCCACCATATATTTCAAGCAACCAGTCTGCTCTTTCATCAAACACTTCACCTCTTCATACTGAATCATCTGTATATGAAAAACACTGTTGTTTGCTGCAAAACTTCAGGTTTTGTCTAATTCTGTATACAGTGTGTCATAAATTTTACAAACTTGGTGACTTCTTTCCTGCCATCACAAATGAAACTTGGCATGGGTCAGGGTTAATGTAAGAACAAGCTAAGTGAATCAATTGAAATGAAATACTCACCTCTACCTATAGGTGCAAGGGGTAGGATGGGTTCATCTCGGAAGTACTGTTACTTTGAACCTCCAAGCGCTTCACATGATAATGACCTAGCAGCCAAAGGATTGTTTACTATTTGTATAATGGTTGAGACTTTCTGGCCTGGTTCATTTCCTGAGCTTACAATTAACACACTGCAGTATCAGGTTTCGTACCGTATAAAATGTCTAGGCAGTGTATGAAACAGAAAATATTTTACTTGACTGCAATATATACATCTGAATTTATTCTGTTGGTCACATTTCAGCTTGTCCAAGTCCCAACACTGCACTGCAAGATAATGAAACCTTCCCTTATGAATGTGTGGTCATCTAAATACACATGTACCCAACATGTAAAGAAGATATGAATGTTACATACAAAGTAAAAATTGTAACTTGTCACAAGTGGAAATACTGATATATCTTACTTAAAAGTATTGTAAATGTTTTGTAAACAAAAAATGGGCTGAAATAAATTTTGTGTGTGTACATACAGAAAGTAATTAACATGTGAGAACTACATTCCATTTTTAGCCTACTTTCTTTATTTTGAAAAAATAAAAGGAGTACCTTACTGTCTGTGTATCCCCCCTAAAACTCCGTGAATTTAGTCCAGAAGAGAACTATACCGACCGAGTGACCGCCGCTAGTCGGCGAAGTTTAGTGCCAACTTTTGCGGATAGAGGGTGTCGTGTGGTCAGCACAATGAATCCCCACAGCTGTTAATTTCGGTTTTCTATCCCCCCCTAATTTTTTCATTTTCTATGTGGTCCATCCATGTTATGTGGGTCCCTTGTCGCTATAGCATGTGCATCCTCAGGTTGCAGATGGAGATGACCTCCAGATATGGAGGATAGCTGCAATTATACTGAATAAACAGTTGTTGACAGCTGACAAGGGGTAATCCTCCAGCTTGGTGGCTGGACATGGGGCTAATGACTCCACACTGTAAAAAAATAAGCCCATTAAGAAATGTCACACAGGGCCTAGGACCTGGATGGATTCCTTGGATAAGCAACCTAAGCTAAGAAAAATGGACATGAGATTTGGTTAATGGAATGTATGAAGACTGTATAGGGTATGTTCACTCATGACAGTTGTGAAAGAAGTATCAAAATATTGTAATGTGTTTGGAGTAGTTACTTCCATGGTAGCACAATAACAGTGAGCCGTAGCGTAGAGAATGCCGAAGCAATGAATGCGTCTCCCGGAGATGAACTGCAGAGAGTTCATTGCGCCTGTTACATGACGTGACTGTCGAAATCGTAGCAACGAATTGTTGTTGAGTAACAACAGATGAGATGAGACACATTACCGGTGTAATCTATAAGGAACGTTCCCGAAGCAACGGATTGCCGAACACGTGAGATCGAACCTTGGCGAGGGGTGTCCTTTATTGAGTCCGCGTGCGCCTTATATAAAGGGCCTGGCCTCAAGCGGAAATCGAATATGGAGTATTGAGTATTGCAGTATAGAGTACTGGGCCAGAAGTCAAGTGATACTGCAAGTGATAATAATTGTATGGTGTGTAAGAGTGAGTGTCCAATAAAGATTCGCTAAATCCGAGACCCACGTGAGGTTATTTGTCGCGTGATATACCCAACAAATGAAAATACGTTTGATTTAGTAGTACAGGAGGTCAGATGGGACAGAGGTGGCACCGAACCAGCATGTGAATATACATTTTTCTATGGAAAGGGGAACGATAAAGAGAATCAATGTACGCAGTTAAGAGGGTAGAATTGGTTAATGATAGGATGTTGTACATAATAAGAGGTCATTGGTGTGATGTCACTGTTCTCAATGTTCATGCCCCAACAGAGGATAAAATTGATGATGTGAAGGACAGCTTCCACAAGGAACTAGAATGTGTATTCGATAAATTTCCTAAATACTCTACAAAAATTTTGTCAAAAGATTTCAATGCCAAAGTAGGTGGGGAAGATATTTTCAGACCAAAAATTAGGAGTTTGCATGAAATTAGTAATGATAATGGAGTTTGAGTACTAAACTTTGCCACACCCAAAAATCTGACTGTCAAAAGTACAGTGTAACTTAAATTTACTTGGACATCTCCTGATGGGAAGACACAAACATATCAACCATATTTTGAGAGAAGATGGGACTCAAGTATACCTGATGTCCAATCATTCAGGGCAGCAGATTGTGATACTGACCACTACCTGGTAGAGGCAAAGGTAAGTGAAAGACTGGCAGTGAGCAAACAGACAACACACAGAGTTCACATGAAGAGGTTCAATCTCAAGCAATTAAACGAGACAGAGGGTAATGATCAGTATCATGCTGAAATCTCAAATAGGTCTGTGGCTTTGGAAAACTAACACATTAAGGTGGATGTCAATAAATCTAGGGAAACTATTAGAGAGAATATCAAAATCTCTGCCAGGCAGAGTCTATGTTATGAACGGAAGAAGCTTAATCCATGGTTCAATGAAGGATGCTCAGAATTATTAGACCAAACAAAACAAGCCAACATGCAGTGGTTACAGGATCCAAGTGAAAAAATGGGGATAATCTGAACAATATAAGACGTGAAACCAGCAGGCATTTCATGAATAAAAAGAGGGAATATCTGAAAGATAAAATTGATGAGCTTGCAATGAACAGTAAGAACAAGAACATTAAGAGACCTGTATAGAGGAATATATGACTTTAAGAGGGGATACCAACCTAGAAGTAACTTAGTGAAAGATGAGAATGGTGATGTGCTTGCAGATTCCCACAACATTTTGAATAGGTGGAAGAACTACTACTCTCAGTTATTGAATGTACACAGGGTCAGGGAAGTTAGGCAGATAGAAATACATACAGCTGAGCTGTTAGTACCTGGTCCTAGCCCTTCTAAGGTTCAAAAGGTATAAATCACCAGGTAGTGAACAAATTCCAGAAGTACTTATTCAAGCAATAGGTGAAATATTATGTTCTAATCCATAGGCTAATTACATCTATTTGGCATAAGGAAAAATTTCCTGATCACTGGAAGGAGTCTATTATTGTACCAGTTCACAAAAAGTGATAAAAATGAGTACAGTAATTATTGGGCGATATTGGCTGCGCCATAGCTCAAGCGGCTAGTTGCTGGCTTCCCACTGTGGCAGCCCAGGTTCGATCCCGGGTCTGGTCAAGTGGGATTTGTGGTCGGCAAAGTGGCACTGGGGCAGGGTTTCTCTGAGTACTATTATCTTTTTGTTATGACATTTAAATTCACATTCACAATCTTCTCCCAGGGTATCAGGCTAGCATTTGTTTGCCTTTAACCACCCTGGCACATTCTTAAGCAAGAACACCTTCCATTATGAGCAGGATTTCCATTTTGCCCGAACTGATGGGATGGTACATCACAAAGTCTTCACAACTATGAGGTGATTGAAGGGGTAAGCATGTGAAAAAATCTGTTTTTGACCTCACCAGTCCTGAATCCAAGATATTCTGTAAAAAAGGTTAAAAACATGGACCCCGATTTCTTAACCAGTTACTGGTAACATATATGTCCATTACGCATCATATTTTAGTATGCTAAGCTCAGCTAGGAACATTTAATTTTACTGTTTCACTCCATTAGGTGTGGTGAAGGGTAAAGAGCTTTTAAGTTACACTGTACAGTGTGTTCAGAAGTAAATTTTTCATGTGTTTCCTGTTTGGCCCTGTATCATCGACATCTAAAAGGTGAGGGCCATTTGGTGGGTTCCAAGCCCAGGGTTAGTCAAACTGGTCCCTCTTCTCTTAGTGGTTGGCCTCTTTTTATCTTCTTTGTCCCGGTATAATACATACGTATTTATCACAGTACTCTTTTAGTTTTACATATTCCATTTATTACATATTCAAGTCAATATTAAAGTTGCATTAATCAATTTCAAACTTCATAAAAATATTCACAGCTACATACATTATGTCACTGAAATTATGATAAAGAGGCATATCTGACTAAACAATAAATTTGATAAACTCCATTTATTCTCGAATAAGCAACTTTTAAAAGAATCATCCAAATGCACAAAAAAGTACTATTTATCAAGTCTATAAATATGGTAGCAGGCATATAAACTGTGAGATGTCAAAACTCCCACATTTTGTAGACAGTCAACTCCCAGATGGTGGTGAGGCTGTCAGGCTTATATGCCAGCTGCCCTTTACCCCCAGGAAGGTTCCTGGTACTCATTTCTGTTTGAGGCTGAGTCGACTCCAGGGCTATAGTGCAGCTGGAAGGATTAGGTTAATTAAAAAATCTAATGACATCGGGAATCAAACCTGCAACCTTCTGGCTTGTAGCATAGTGCCTCCACCAACTACCCTACCACGTGCTCTCTCCTTGACAATCATACTAATGAAAACTGCCTATTATTTGTATGTCTGCCTCTACCGATATAAGGACAAGTATAGAACATCTATGAGTCTCACTCTACATCCATGTTTGCCTAAAACTTTATAGTCATAAAAATGGTTGTGGTGATATTATTTCCAGGAGTTAGGTTATATATTTAAAGAAAACATTCACAGAATACATAATTTTCTTGTCCAAGTCATTCATGTATATATATATATTTTTTTTTTACATTTTCCTGTAATTGAAATTAAATACAATGAGAAGAAAAATGACAGCATATGATCAACAAAAAGGAGAAAAAAAACCTGCAAAGCAGTACCCACAGCAACCATGTAAATTAAAATTATTTAAATTTACCACAAGAAAATCAACGTGATGTTAGCTTGTAGCTAAATCTCCACATCTCGGTATCCATCCTCTCTCATTTACATTCTTATTGCATCAGTCTAAATGAGTTATGTCTCTCACTGGAGATTTGATTTCATGTTTAGGATTTTCTCAACTCCAAGTCAATGTTTTAGACAACTGTAAGTATCATAAGCTGAATTCAATACAAATATACAATATACCAGCATTAAGGATCCCTCATACCACCAGACACACACACAACACACACTCAAGCATACTGGTGCCAATAGACCAGTCAATCATCACACAAAATTCTGTTGCATACAATGACTAAATTAAAAAACATTAACCTACTTTATTTTTATCATGACTATTTATTCATATTATGCTTTATGACTTGTGGGGCAGTGAGATTTTATGATTACACTAACATGACAGAATGTTTGTAACTGCTTGTCAGCATCTGTCCCTGTTCACCATTGTTACCATGACATCATTTAATCTTGCTCAACTGTTATCCTTTACATGCTATGCTGCACTGAACCATCATCCAAGCCAACTCCCCAAAATTACTATCACAGAAGGGACAAGATACGGTATTCAATGTTAACAGGAAAATGGAGATATTTCACATAATATTTGAAGCATACATTCATTAATATTATCTCCTTAGAAAAACTTATTGATGTATGTTATCTCAGTAATTGAGGGTAAGAAAGTTGAGATATTTGTCCTGTCAGTATTTTCAATTCACTGTTCAGGTAGCTGTAAAGTGGTATATAATTCTACTATCTACGTACATGATGTATTCAGATTTGACCATGCAGTGTTCACAACATACTTTGTCTCTGTCTACACAAGGTCTGCCACGTAAGGTGTTAACCATACATCCAATACCATGTGCATTGGACCTTGAAGAATAATAATAATAATAATAATAGTAACCCACACACACACAAAACAAAAACAAACAAAAAATGAAGTCAATGCACAAATGTCGGCGATTATCAATATTGTAGTTGTCAACATTAACAAGAAACCAAAACCATTATATATGATATATATATCTAGTACATGACACATCTTAGTTTATTTGGTAAAAATACATTCATTGAGATATAGGCAGGAAATGCTTCACTCTACGATAGTTCTTATTTAAAAACCATTCTGTTTCATTATTTGATATTGGTTGTTGTGGGTACTGACAGTAATCATTGGTTGTTTCAGAATGAGCAAGCCTTCCTACCTTCTTGAAGAACCAAGAGACCTGCTTCAGACTTTCCATGAGTTGATGCACAGAAATGCAGAAATACACTTGTGCACTTCAGTTGAGTGCCTTGACAGAGGCTGTGGGCTACACGGAAGCAAGATGAATACCATACAACCAAATTTTTCTGCTCTGTACCAAGCTGCAGGTCTGAACACAACTTACTGAGCTGCAGAGCCTATTCTAGATGTGATTTCCCCTCCCTATATACATCTGACAGTATACAATCTTGTAAATTATATTTAGTATGATGCCATTATACACCAAGTACAGTACTTCCATGTTTTCAATGCCTTCTGTATTATTAAAGGTTAATATGTATTTCTCTTAGATTTTTTTTTCATTCATTATAGTAGTATAAGAGTAATCATGTTAACATAGAAGCTGCAATATGCTACAGCAATACTTCACACTGTTTCTTCTTAACATTTTTATAGTAGTCTTGTCTCCATTTCATTTACAAGACTTACAGACTCCTGATGAACTAATATTGTGTTTAAGCCAATGCATTTACCAGAAGAGAAATGAAACCACTGATATAATTATGTTAGCAATACAGGATGTACCAGCATTGTGCACTGCAAGGCAATAGGTCAGTCTTTCAAGAACTACAACTGCATAACAGTTCAGTTCACAACATTCAAGACAACCCTGTCCATGTAGTATTATTTCAAGGACTGGGCTTAAAGGTACTCAAGTCAAATTCATAAAGCAAGAAATAAAGAGTATTAAGTCTGAGGAAACTGGACATCCTGCTCCAATCAAAGAACATGATAATTATGTATCTGCTAAATAAACATTCTACAAAGAGCACAGATTCAATGAGAGCAGGGAACAGAGGCAGTTAGTGAGCAGCACATTATTCAACTACAAAACCTGGGGCATGTGGCTGACGTATGTCTGCATCAAAACCTTTGGTCCCATCAGGGCCTTTTGGCTGACGGACCACTGTTAGTTTTGGTCCTGTTTCTTCCAGGGAGATTGTTCGTAACCGCCTTATCAGTCTCTCAGGACGTTCTTGCCGCAGAGCATCACTATAAAACAAATGAACAATTTTATTTCTGACTAAATTTAAAAAAAAAAAATTGAATTCATGATTTTAACCCTAAAGCAGGATTAACTGGTAAGTTCCAGCCAGAACATTTGTCTAGGATCTGGGGTGGGGGGAAATTGTTTTGAATGCACTGTATATGTACAGCAATCCTTTGCCAACCATAGGGACTGTGTTCCTGAAAAACACCATTGCTAACATGATGAAGGCTATATGGGAAAGTGGGGTTTAAGAGAACTGCAGCCGCTGGTAACAGTCATCAAAATCTAAGTTGCCTAATACTTCACCTATCATGCATGCACACGCGCACACACAAAGTAGGCTTAATAATAACAGACACAAAACACAGAAAAGCATCACAAAAAATGCATAATAATGGTAATCTGGAAGCTATAAAACTGGCATGAACTTCATTACAATGACCCCAGAAAACACCGAATGCTTGATGTGGCAGCCACTGATCTTTGTATGTATACAAATAAAAGTCATGGCTTCATAAAGCCAGACATAATGGTTGGTAAAACTGGATACAAGCAGAAAACTGTGAAATATGTGATTGGCAACAGATTTATGTACACTATAAACAACTCACTTTTATTTAAACTGCAAACAACATAAACTGAAAGAAATGGACAAATTAACCTAACTTCAAACATAAACAGAAGAAATAATTCACTTTAAAGGCTAGTTAATTTACAAGTATGCAAACACAAATGCTTATATAAAATAAATTTTGAAACAAAACTGAAATACCTGTTTAAGAATATATAGATAATTAAATGTCAGAATTAAATTATGGTTGGTACTGTTTGCACCTTAATACAGAGCAATCCATACTACAGTTTACCATGGCACTCACCAGACTTTGGTGACATTACAAGCAGAGGACTTGCCAGTACGCTGGTTGGTCACGAGGACAAACTCCACCTGGTCACCTGGTTGAAGGCTCACACTGTCCTTCACTTCAGACATATGAAAGAATAGTTTCTTCCCTTCGTCTACTTCATGTGTCAGAAACCCAAATAAACCTTGAATAAATAAATACCAAATCAGCAACAAGCACACTTCCACACTAAAACACCAATTTCCACCATATGTAATTACTGCACTTCTGAATCAGCAAAGACATTACAACTTTCTTATGCCTTTTGTCACTCCAAGAAGGAACAACAAATGTCTGTGAACAAGATACCTATCTGTTATTGTAAGGGTTAAATTTAAGAAGGGGGAATATAAATGGACTCTCCTGAGAATTAAATCAAGATTTACTTGTATACAGATGTTGAATGAACTTCACGGGTACAGCCTTTGGAAAGCTAACAGTCATAAACCTCAAGGATTCTTTGCCTTTCGGGTAACTAAAAGGTTCACTATGTGTTCTCAACAGCTTACCATGTGACCTTATTCCAAGCCACATGAATCCAGAGTTCTAAGATATATTTTCATGCTATTAGGTTTTCTATAAAAGCACAACCACGCAGAAGAATCAGGTTTTTTTCCTGTAAAGTTCACCAACCCATAATATATATATGTTCACTTCATGGCTATTCTGTCTAGAAAACTCACTGTTAATATCCCACTGCCTGCTCTTTCAAAAGTACAAGGGCTATTTGGGAAATAACATCTGTTTATTTTAGGCAACTAAAGTTGGAGAGGGGGAGAGCTCATGCATACATGGTAGCATCACATGACTCACTGCCTTGTAAACCATCATATAACTGGTCACCTAGTGTTTGTTATTGTCTCTACAGAGTGAGATATGATGTGTCCTGCAACTGACAATCCTGTCAGCTGCAAAATTTGCACTGTTACCTGCTTTCTTCATGCTAAAAACACGAGTGCTGCAGAAATCCATCACAAATTATGTGCAGTTTATGGCCAAAATGTAATGAGGGAAGGAACTGAAAGAAAATGGCGTAGAATGTTCAAAGATGGGCAAACAAATGTTCGTGATGAAGAGAGAAGTGGTCGGCCATCTGTGGTGAGTGACAATATTGTTGAAAGCGAAAGACGACACTTCACAATTTCAGAACTTTCATGTGAATTTCCACAATTTCACACACTGTTTTATATGAGATTATCATAGTTAGGATAGTTTTACGCAAGATGGGTTCTGAAAATGCTAATGAGTGTGCATAAAATACAGAGAATGGCTTCTGTTTTGACTTTTTAGAGCAATTCCACACAGATGGCGATGAATTTCTCAATCACACTGTACAAGTAATAGGTGCTGAAACCTGGGTTTCATTTGTGAATGCTGAAACCAAAGAGCAGTCAAAGCAGTGGGTGCACACACATTCTCCAAACAAGCTGCATATGTTTAAATAAAAGTCTGCCAGAAAGCAGATGGCAACTGTTTTCTGGGACAGGAAAGGATTGCTGATGGTGGAATTTATGCAACAAGGGGCCATAATAATTTCAGGAGTGTACTGTGAAACATAAGAAAACATGTGTAGGGCCATTCAGAACAAAAAGCGTCTAGTGCTTCTCCATGAGAATGCATATCTGCATACAGCTGCTCGCACTCGAGGACTGCTGGAGCATTTCAACTGATAGTTGTTTAACCACCCTCCTTACAGCCCTGACCTTGCTCAAAGCAATTACCACCTGTTTACCTACTTGAAGAACTGGTTGGGCTCACAGAGCTTCAACACTAATGAGGTGTTCATGGAATGTATCAAAACATGGCGGAGCTCACAGGTGGCAGGCTACTTTGACACAGGCATACAGAAACTTGTTCCCCGACATCATAAGTGCCTCAATTCCAGCACTGACTATGTTGAGAAGTAGCTTAAGTATGTATGTATACTTTGTATATAATAGAATTTTATTTCTTGTTTTGTTAACAGCTCACTGGAGGTCACTTTCCAAATAGCCATTGCATATCAGTCTTCATCATAACATGTGCAGAAGCATGCATGCCGTCAGTAACAGGGGTTCCTCATCACTTTGTTTTTCCAGTCCTATTCACTCCACTTGCTAAGAGCAAACTGAGAGTGACAGTAAAAGAACAAATGTTCATGATGTGCAGAGAAAAAGAAGCTTGTGGAAAGCCTTTTTAGAGTCAGGATAGAGAAATAGTATAAATGCATATTTATCGTGAGGAAGAAACTGAAAATAAATATCAACTGAACAATTACAGAACAGATTTGTTGGAGGCTATGAATGTTTCTCATGCCATGTTACAGTATAACAAAGAACATAACAGAAGTTGAAGAAAACCATCAACAATGAAACAATCAGCTAAAACCAAAACTGATGTCTTTGGTATGTATGTAATAAGAACAATAAATGGATTCCACATTACAGAAGGTAAGTATCATATTGTAATGTGTTTGGAATAGGCACTTCCATGGTAACACAATAACAGTGAGCTGTTGGGTAGACAATGCCAAAACAACGAACGAGTTTCGCTGGAGATGGACAACAGAAGGCCCGTTACATAACAACAGACTGTCGATATAGTGGAAACAGGACCATGAGGAATGGTGTCTGGTATCCAGTCCACAGAACACCTACATAAGCGAAGATAGCAAAAAGACAGCAAGAATACAGTCTTCAGAAGGCCGCCGCCAAAAGCAGTCTAGTATTGGCCGAGATATAGTGAAAGCAGTAATTGTGATACTGCAAGTGATAATAATTGTAAAGCGTGTGAGTGTATAAGTGAAGCACAATAAAGATTCACTAAATCCGAGACCCACGTGAAGTTATTTGTCGCGTGACACACCCAACACGTGACAATATTTTTCTTTACTGTCAGTTTTATATAAGAATGCTTCTTTTGCATTCAGATCAGGGATAATGACAAGAGACTATCATAATAATATAAATTTTGCAAATTCTGGTAACAGCAATGCCCCACATTATATCATGCAATCAAAATCCTGCACCAACATCTTCATCAAGGACAGCTATATGATTTGCTGGTTAACTGCCCAAGACATCCTTTCTTGTGAACAATGTTAAAACCTGAACTATATTTGCAGTTCGTATAGTGACTGGCTATCGGTTAGACAGCTGAGAGGACGAGTTGGAATTCCAGTAGGGGCAAGATTTTTCTCTTCTACATACTGTCAAGACCAGTTCTGGGGCCCACCCAGCCTCCTATCAAATGGGTATTTGGGGCTCTTTCCCTGGGGGTAAAGCAGCCAGAGCACGGGACTGACCTCTCAACTCCTACTAGTGCCAAGATCAAGAATATGTGGATCTATATATCCACCCCCCCCATATACCTTCATGTGTAGTGCTTAATTGCTTAAGCACAGGTACAAATTTACTTTTTTACTGTATCTTATAGCATATAATTCCTTTTTTTTACTGTACTCATAACTTATAAAACAGATGCCCTTCTTGCATAACATGGCCGCTCAACACTCAGTCTTCCCCTTTACCATGTTATCTCAATCCAACAGACCTGGTTTCGGTTTCAGTGAAAGATTACATTCCCAGGAAGGTTTATGTTCAAGCTTGATTGAATACTAGTCCCCCACCCAAAAAAACTTCAATTACAAAAACAGCAAATGGGCTTCCTAATGCAAATTTATAAGGGAATGTGATCAACATTTTGCTCTTGAACCACTGATCAATGAAACACCTCAGCAAAGTACAGTCAAATTAAATGAAGGCAATGATGATCATAAGTCTACGAGCATGCAACAAAAACAGTGAGGCTGAGGATGAGGGAGGGTTGATTTGTATGGAACCCTTTCCACAGACAGGTTCATGTGTAGGTTGGTACAGGGAAATTCACTGATAGTTTCATGTGGTTCCTATGTTAATACATTTTAAGTTGGTAAAGGTACAGTTGTCGATATGCTTAACCAATTAAGCACTACACTATGAACATGTATGGTGAAGTGGATGTATAGACCCACATTTTCTTGACCTTGGCACTAATTGGACGTGAGTGGTAAGCTTCACACCCTTGCCACTTTACCCCCAGTACACATTTGATAAGAGGCTGGGTGGACCCCAGAGCCGACATAGAGAACGAACAATTCTTGGCCCTACCAGGACTTCAACTCTGACTGTGCTATCCCTGCTCTTCATTCTATGTGAAATAGTCTTCTATATTTTCATTTTTGCGTGGGTCTCAACAGTTTTTGTCATGACAATGAACAAATCAAAACAGGATTTAAAGTAACATGTCACTATTACTGGTATTATGCAGCCATGCAATGTCCTATACGCTGCTTTCACCCAAGTGTGTGATGTCTTCTGTTATTTTAAAACTCAAACTTTCTTCCCACCCAGTAAGTCATCCATCACTTAGCTGTCCCAACTTTGTGTGTTTTACTGTCCTCACGCATTCTGGGTAACATTTACTGACAAATGAGCAGTACGCATAGGCCTTCAAAGTGGTTATTTGCTTCAAGTTTTCTGACTAAAATTTGGTGTGCATTTCTCAGCTCCATCATGTGTGGTATACACTCCACCCACCTCAGTCTCCTTCATTTGATCATCCCAATATCTGATGAAATTTAGATTCAAATATTCTCAGCAAACAATCCTTCCATCAGAGTGGGAGAACAAGTTTCATCAACAATTATTATTTCAAATGTTCTTCATAAATCTACATCATTTAATTCATAGAAATTACTGGAAAGGACAATAAATCTCTCACATTTCCATGTACACAGCTCAGATCTGTGAGAAAAAATAAATCAATGAACAACAGTTATTTCACCACCTATCTGAATGCACCAGAGGTAAAGCTCCATATTATATCTGCTTGATGGAAAGAACTGTATCATATTCTGTCCATTTTTGTCCCTAGGGAAAGAGCCTCTGGTACCCAATGGACAGGACATTAATTAGGACACAAACCTGTTCTGGACATGTTCCCAAAGGGAAAATTTCTGCCCTTGTACATCACTATCAGTGAGATATCCTTGAGAAGAACTGACTTTTGATCATCTAAACCATAGTCCAAACTCCTCAGCCATCATGGCTTAAAATAACAGAAAAAAATATGATATATCTTTCTTTCATGTTCTTAAGTTTAGTGTTGAAGTCCATCACTTCCCAGAAAAACACACATTGTAGATGGACCAAAAAGCAATGGCGAGTGTGCTAATATTAGGCAGTAACTGAAACAGCATAACACCTATGACAAAGATAATGACAATAACAACAGCACTTAACCCTTATGAGCCGAAGGACACCGTATGGGGACCTTTAAAGTAAAGCCGAGTGGCCGAAAGACACCATATGGGTATGCGCAGTCCACACGTGCGCACAGTATTTTAAAATTTAATTTTAAGATAGAAATTCTTGTTCTACTTATATTATTTTTGGATACCAGCTTTATAAGTAGACTGGCTTCCCTCCTGCATCATCTAACTGAATGTTGCATGTCAATGAATGCAGAGTCCGACGTCGCAATTCATGCACTTTGTCCGTAATTAACTCTGTTTTCTATGCGAAGGGCGCACACGCAATGTTAGTCTCGTATTAGCAGGGAGTAAGTCACTGATGGCGAGTGGTGTCCTCTATTCATAACGCTTATAAAACATCGCAATTTCAACTATGTACCATGGCCCCTTTTCGCACTGAAGAAGTCGAAATTGAGAGGCCGCTCGTAAATCACACCATTCAGAATGAGTTACAGTTTATTCTGAAGGGACATGGAAGCAAGTGGTATGAGGTGATATTCCAAGAACTGCCTCTGTGTGGATAGTCCAGACATACCGTGAATAAACAGAGTTTCATAAGGCAATGTAGGATTAGAACTTGCCCAGCCCACACTCCTGTATACAAGAAGCCCACTGACTGGAGAATGTGCAATGAAAACGAACATTCTCTCTCCTCCAGATAACACACAGTCAGACCGTGAGTCAGCAGCATGCATTTATACTGCAGGAAGGTTTTGTGCAGAAGCTTTATGCATTTTGTAGACAGACGCTCAAAATTGGGGATTTTTTTTTTTGGAATCAATGTAACAATTTTTACATTTCTAAAACCTGTAAATTACAGTATCTGATTCTATATACTTTCTAGATAAAAACAGCGTTTACTTCGTTCGTTTATCACAAAAATTGTAGAAATCACAGCATTTTGAATAACATGATTACAATTTTTATTACTCTATAATGGCGGGCATTTAAATTAACTCCGTCCCGCTGCCACTACCGGAATTTAAATGGCCCGTCCCATAAAGGTTAAATATGGTAACTAACCTTTCACTGCATCAACAGTAGCTCTTCTCTTCTTGCGAACAGCAATAATATTGGTGGCTCTGTTGTCAGAGTCCACTTGGAAAGTGACTGGGTCACCAGCCTGTAACAGTTCCCGTTTGTTTGCTAGCCCAGTTATACCAAATTCATACTCTGCTCCTTCCTCTTCTGCTTCTGCTGTGTTAACTTGAACAAGACCTGCATACTGTGTCTGGTCAGGGTTCACACTGCGTAAGGGTCTTACTACAGTCCCTTCCAAGATTTCTCCAGATGGAAGAGGCAGCTCAATAGATCCCTTTGGCAGAACACGAACATTCTCCGCTGATAAGCAGCTACCAGAAGAACCACGTGTGCCCAGATTGTATTCTACCTCAACGCCGAGTTCTAAACTGCTTGCCTCTCCCTCAAAGTTGCTGTAGAAAGAAGCATACACCAACTTGAAATGTCAAATATACACATACTACATTTGTGATGTGCCTTCAACCAAATGTTAAAATGCCACTACAAGCATGGTGAGTTTCTTTTTCAATTTTCTGGGTACTAAATCACATTATTTTTTCGTGTCTAGATTATGCCATTTTACAAGCTCAATGGTGTTTATTAGAATTATACTTCTGTAGGTTTTGCTTCATACTGAACCACCTTAATATGGCTGTAATACTAATATTGAAGGAATATGTAATCCTGTGTGTTTACCATTACTACTTGCGGGCTACAATCTGTAGTCCCTACTTATACAAGGTCTGTTCACTGGATTTAAAGCATGTGTTAAAAGTTGCACCCATCAATGTAGATATTTAAATAGTGCAATCAACGGTGATCTGAAACAATATTTCTTTTATGTCCCCTTAATTTTACAATGAGATCTTTAAACCTTCATAAATAATTATGTATATGACACACTTTTGTAATGTCTTTTAGAGGAGCTGCAGAAATTTTGATTTTTAATAGCTTATCTTATTAGCACTAACTTTGACGACAAGTGGCGGTCACTCGGTCAGTATAGTTTGCTTGTGGACTAAAACCACAGAAGTTTGTTTCTGTTTATCTTATTAACTGTAGATCCTGTATATGCATGACAAAAGTAACCAGATTAGAAGTGGAGATTTGTGTGATACCTCTTGAAACACCCATCCAATCACAAGCCTGTTTCACATTCACTGCACCAGCAAATTGTTTCTCTTTTCTTTCCATGTTGTGAACACATGGCACATCTCCTGTAGTAAATGTAGTAAATGACAGTCAGTTACACTGAAGGTGGTTCAGTTGAAGGCTGGTCATATACAGGACGAGGAACAGCAGTATTTTTTTATGAAACCATGTATTAGACGCAGCCTAAATTTCAGAGGGTCTTTCCCTATTATTCGGTATGGACTCCTTTATTATCATGGAATTATGGATACTTATATTGAATAAACTTTTGAATACTTTCATTACAAATATGAACTCAAGTTACTTAATTGTGACACAAATACTTACTTTAATACATGTTTAGAACAAAATATGATGCCAAAATATGCTCGGGTAAAGGAAAATTCCCATAAAGCAATCTATAGTAGAACACACAGAATCAATACGAATAACAAATGAAATAAAGTTTTGGTATGCTAATATACAAAATCTGAATAAAATCTTAGACACCCCTACTTACTTACTTACTTACTTACTTATGGAGCTGAGCCCTTCTTGAGGAGAAGCCAAATCTGCAGCAACTCAACAATTTCCCAGCATTTTATGGAACCCGAAGGTTCATTACCTTGTTCACAATAGCCCTCCACTGGTCCCTATCCTTAGCCAGATCAATCCAATCCATACCATCCCATCACATCTCTCTAAGATCCATTTTAATATTGTCCACCTACCTACACCTTGGTCTTCAAAGTGGTCTCTTTCCTTCTGGCTTTTAACTCTACCTTCTTAACTGCTGATACGATTCTCTTACGTATGAAGAAACCTGTACCCAATTCATGATTTTCATTCCCCTTTCCATAGAAAAATGTATATTCGTCTGCTAGTGTGATGCCACTTCCATCCCACCCAACCTCCTGTACCCCTGCTAAATCTAACTTATATTTTAGGATTTCTTCCGCCACTTCCCTGGATGAACCTGTCCTATACAAACTTCGAACATTCCATGTACCAAATCTCATATCCATTTTCCTTAGCTTAGTTCATTTATCCAAGGAATCCATCCAGGTCTGAGGTTTCTTGAGGATTTTTGTAACAAGTTTATTTTTTATGGTGACAAGTTGTTAGCCCCACGCCCAACCCCCAAACTGGTGGACCACCCCATGTCGGCTGTCCGTGACTGCTTATTCAATATATTCGCAGCTTCCCTCCACACCTGGAGGGCGTCTCCTCCATCCGTAACCCTAGGACGCGCCATGCCGAGGTGACAGGGGACCCACCTAACATGGGTCTTACACACCCAACATATTCAAAGTGCCAATAATGAGTTCATCTTTGGAATAAAATAAACCAAAATATTACAAAAAAATAAAACGAAAATTGAAGAAAAAATATAAAGTCATAAATAATAAAATAAGAAAACAAGCAACCATATGCAAACAAATAAAAAGAAAATGCTTTTCATAAATGCACTGTAAATCTGATTAACGTCACATTCACGGAAGCAGAAATGTAACTCTTGAATAAAGGATTGAAATAAAACCTAACTACAAACATAAAGACTGGATAAAAACTTTAGCAACAGAAGCAGACACAGCCATAAGTAAATTACATGAAAGAGATCACAGGAATATGAGATAAACAGTAGCAAACAACATCCAAGAACTTATAAACAAACAAAAGACACTAAAAGAAAAAATGACAAACAACCAATCAAAATTAGAATCGCAAGAACGACACCTTATAAATAATATAAAGAAGAAAATAAACCAAAACCAGTTAACTGTAACCAAAGCTGATAAAGGCAACACATTAGTTATAATACATAAAGAAGATAATAACAGTAAAATAGAAGAATTCATGACCCAAAACAATTTTACAAAATTACCACACGATATCACATATAAACAACAAAAATCATAAGGAGCAGCATCAACAACAGTAACAATATTAACAAAAACAACAAATAGAAATACAGTAACATGAACTCAAAAGTTCCACACACATACATGGTACTTTGAAACTACATAAAAAACAAAAACCAATTTGACCAATTGTAAACTGGAAAGTTAGCCAAGGATATAAATTAGCAAAATGTATAGCCACACAATTAGAATATAGATTACAACTACCCAGTAGCTACAATATTGAAAAACCTATTAGGCTTATTCATAACCCTAAAAACATAGAAATAAACAAAAATATAAAGCTATGTACTTTAGATGTTGAAAATATGTGTACTAACACACCAGTTACAGAAGTAAAATACATAATAAAAAAACATCTTGACAACAATAACCACACACCCAAAAATGAAAAACATAAACTGGTAAGCTGTTGAATCCGCCTCAGCAATCTTAGCTGAAACATTTACGAAGTACTTCAAACACACAAAAACAGTAACAAATTTGAACAAATATCAGATTACCGAGTACCGTACATATGTAGATGACAACACACGCATGACAACACAGAAAACACCTTGATGGAGTTAACCCAGTACACCCACAAATGAAATTTACCATTGAAAAAGAGATAAACAATAAACTAAATTATATAGATTTAACTATCATGAACATCATCACAGTCCCTACCATCACCCATCATCTATACATTAAAAAATTCTGAACTGTGTAAGTGAACTGGTTAAAGGCCTGGCAATCACTGTGATGTCATATATTTAGATTAGTGTCCTGGACATCAGGTGCATAACTAAGGTCACTGATACATAAACAACAGAGAGTTAATTTATGTCATCATAGCTTGATGCAAATTCCCTCTCAGAGGACTATTTCATTCCTCACCTACAGTGCACAGAAATGAAGCCTACAATAGAATACATGGTGTACAAGAAACCAAAAATATGGCAGTTAACTATGCAATATATGGCATATATGATGCCACAATAAAGGGCTAAAATTCATCTAAGTAACCGGTTAGTTTAGTGGTAGGTGAGTTTTCTAGCTGAGTTAGTGAGCAACTTTCATAGACACTTGTCTGGACTAAATTATGTGCCTACCTCTGGCTCCATTTGAGTTAGTAAACAAAAATGTTCATGCACTTTAGCAGAACACACAGTTCTCCAAGGCATGCACAAACTCTGAGACTTTTAAGTCCCATAAAAACGTTTCTATATGTAGAGACTTATCACATCTGACATCAACATATGTATAACTGTGATATGAAAACTGGAAAGCTGAAAAAGAGGGGAGCATTAAGAAAAGCATTGTAGATATAACGATAAACAATAAAAGCTTTTCTACCACACTGTGAACCATTAAAGAAAGCAGCTGCTGTACTTTCAGAAAAATTGCCTCACATAAGTAACAGCCAATAAACTGGCATCCTTACCTGAAATGGAAGAAGACTTCCCTGTCATGAGCAATAGTCTCAATAAAGCCAAAACCATCCTTCAGTGCAGCAATGAAACCTTGACAAAGAGGCAGGCTATTTGACCGCCCCAATCCATTCTTTCCCTGGTTCTGATTCTTGCTCATGACCTGCACATCAACTGCAAGCAGTTCCCTGCTCCGTTTCACTTGGCAGATGTTGAATTCCACCTTCAATATGATTACAGAAGAATGATACTTCTTATTATCGGTGACTTTTTAGATGGTTTTTATTTTTGGTGACCAGAAAATCATACCAGCACAAAACACAGTAATACCCAATATATGAAGATGCATTCCTCGAATTTCATGTGTATAGCAAAATTCCATATAATGAAAACTCTCTTATTCTGGTATTATAAAGATGCATTCTTAGCCTTTATAATTTATTTCACGGTGTAAAGGTATGATGAATTTCTTTTTTATTATTCACACAGCAAAGAAAGAGAGCTTTTATGAATATATGGGGGCTATTCAGGCACCTAATGCCAGAGAGGCATGTGAGGTAGTGTCACAAGATTCATTACCTTGTAAACCATCATATAAATGGTCACCTAGTGTTTGTTCTTGTCTTTACAAAGCGAGATATGATGTGTCCTGCAACTGACAATCCTGCCAGCTGCAAAATTTGCACTGTTACCTGCTTTCTTGATGTTAAAAACATGAGTGCTGCAGAAATCCATCATGAATTATGCACAGTTTATGGCCAAAATGTAATGAGTGAAGGAACTGTAAGAAAATGGTGTAGAATTTTCAAAGATGGGCAAACAAATGTTCACATTGAAGACTGAACTGTTTGGCCATCTGTAGTGAGTGAGTGATCTTGTTCAAAGTGAAAGACGGTCCTTCACAATTTCAGAATTTTCATGTGACTGTCCACAAATTTCACGCACTGTTCTCTATTTGGTTATCATAGTTAGGCCAGGCTATCACAAGTTTTGCACAAGATGGGTTCTAAAAATGCTCATTAGTGCACACAAAATGCACAGAATGGCTTCGGCTTTGACTTTTTAGAGCGATACCACAAACATGGCGACGAATTTCTCAATCACACTGTACAAGTAACAGGTAATGAAACCTGTGTTTCACTTGTGAATGCTGAAATCAAAGAGCAGTCAAAGCAGTAGATACACACACATTCACTAAACAAACCGAAAAAGTTTAAACTGTCTGCCAGAAAGCTGACAGCAACTGTTTTCTGGGTCCGGAGAAGAGTGCTGATGGTGGAATTTATGCAACAAGGGCCCACAATAACTTCAGAAGTGTATTGCGAAACATTAAAAAACATGTGTAGGGCCATTCAGAACAAAAAGCATGGAGTGCTCCTCCATGATAATGCATGTCTGCATACAGCTGCTAGCACGTGAGAACTGCTGGAGCATTTCAACTGATAGTTGTTTGAACACCCTCCTTATAGCTCTGATCTCACCTGAAGAACTGGTTGGGATCACAGCACTTCAACACCAATGAGGTGTTCACGTGGTTGAGCTCACAAGTGGCAGACTTCTTTGATACAGGCATACAGAAACTTATTCCCCAGTACAAGTGCCTAATTCCAATGGTGACTAAGCTGAGAAGTAGCTCAAGTATGTACATATATTTTGTATACAATAATATTTTTTTGTTAACAGCTCACCAGAGGTTACTTTCTGAATAACATTCATAAGATTTTACTTCATACTAATAAACTACATTATCATCATCACCACCAGCACCACTGCTGATGATGTAACTCTGTACAGTTAGGTTTTTGTAGCCTGACGGAAGAAGAGGTGTTGAGATACATGTGGGGAGGGATAACAGGATCCATGAATAACCACACTCAGTTTGAGGCTCTTTCTTCTCAACTGGTGAAGAGGAAGACTGCTTTTTGAAGAAGGTATGAAGTGTGGTCAGTTTAGAGTGCTTATGTTTTTTTGCTGTGAATGTTACTGTAACAACTGATGTCATTCATAGGACCCTCTTGATATCAAGCTTTGCTTCAAATCTGGACCATGTAAGAGCATGTCCAAAGCATTACAAACTTTATGTAAAATAAATGAGAGCTTCCATATTTGAGGGTAACCCATGTAACTTTAAAATTTACTGCCAAGCCATCTGCCACATTTGTGCTGTCAATCTTAGTTAAGTAGTAGCATTATCTTAGTACTGCCAATCTTAGAAGTTAAGCCCCTCAGGTACCTAATGAGGTGAAGGCCACAGATCAGATGCATCATATGCCAAAGTTGAATAGGTGAGAGTCTGTCTATAATAATATGTGGCTAGTGTACGTGGAGATCCTTAAGTAATTCGTGATGGAACAAATTCACTGATCAAAATGCTGTATTGTATAACTGACATTTGATGGTGTGGGTGGGCTGGAATTGCACACTGCTAGATGAGAAGTAAGGTTGTACTGTCTGTCACATTTGCCACAAAATTACTGAAGAGAAGACTCCTCCACAAAGATTCTATGTGAAGACTCTGGAGAGAGCTGATGTGGCAGGCACCAGTGGCCAGACAATATCCAGTATTGTAAACAGGGTCTGTGATATGCAGTTTTCTCTTCACTACAGATTGAGTATGGGAAAGACAGAGCATACTGCCTGGTTCATACCCAGTGACCTGCCAGACAAAATTATAAAATACTGTAATGTGATGTCTAAAGGTCAGGATCTTGGGGTCAGAAAAGTGTTGCAGAGGTGTCTGCTGCTAGATAACAGCTTGCTGAAACATGTCTGCAAGGCAGTGAAGAAAAGGAACATATATTAGCTCCTACTTGTCCAATAAATGACCATCTGTCCTGTGTATGGTCTGTACTATCAGAAACATAATATACACTGTCACATTCTTCAGACTCAGAACCACTTATTCCATTTCCATGGCATTTACTGCTACTTGTACTTTGATTCCTCTTCATCAATATGTGCACTACCAGATTACAAACAATCTTCAGATTCACCATAAAAATGTCTGACAATGAATCAGCATAAAATATCCATAACAATTTCTTCTTGACCTAAAATTTCAGTAGACTTCTTTCGCGATGCCATACTTGCAAACTGCTGAGCAATAACTGTCGTAATCATAAAGCCAAGGCATTGAGCAGATGAAAAGAAGTATGAATTTACATTTCTATGCAATTATCATAGGAAATCAGTGTTCAAAAGAATGAATTATTTGTGAGTTGGTTATCCCTAGCTAAGATGCAGCTGACCCTTACAGTAGGGCACATGAAAGAGGACTCAACTATGTGCATTCTACTATGTGTATGCTTAAAAAGGCAGATGTCCTCAACCTGTATGCAATGAGTGGGATCAAAGAAATACTAATGTCATTGGTAAAGGCTGTGCAATAGCTCAAGCAGTTAGTCACTGGCTTCCTACTGTGGTGGCCTGGGTTCAAACCTGGGTCTTGTCAAGTGGGATTTGTGGTGGACAAAGTGGCACTGGGGTAGGTTATCTCCAAGTACTTCGGTTTTCCCTACCAATCTCCATTCCACCAAATTATCCATCATCATAATCACCCGGGGCAGGTACAATAGGCAAATCAGTGGCAGCCATGCTGAGTAGACCCAACTTGACTCCACCCCCAATATGCAAATTAAAAAAAAAATGTCACTGTTACTACTCACCTTATCACCAATTCTAGGAAAATTCTTTGGATCACAATCTTTGGAGTAGAAGAAAATTGTCTTCTTTGTGCCATTGACTTGATAATTGATAATTCCTGATTCTGTAGAAGATTTTTCACCATTTCCCACAGACTGCAAGAAGAAATAACAAGTGTAATCTGAACAACAGTTGTAGACCACCCAATGAAGAGCAACATAAAACATTCACTGTTTAGGACATACTTCATTTGATGAATGAACAAGGAAAGACCTATGTCTACATATTAGTAAAGGACAGAGAGATGAAACCCTAGTGCGTTTAAATATATAAATTACAATCCCATAACTAAATTATGAAATAAAATAATGCATTATGAATTGTGAGCATAACATAACAATTCTGGCACATTCACCTCCTCCTGTTTAATTATCTTGAAAACTACATAAAAAATGTACTGGATATAAAATGTGCTTCATTTTTCTCTAAAATTTTTGTTCAAAAGACTTCTCTCACCAGTAAATATTAAGCCAACTACCGGCCACATTATGCTTTGGATGTGCGAAGAAACGCATGTGGGTCTTCCTGTGAAGTGTGTTATTGTTCCCTATTTAAATAAAAATTAAATGTATGAATGAATGTATGAGGGGTAGGCCTTCTCGGCCCTTGCACCGTGACCTACAGTGATCTATTGTGCTTTAAATAAAAATTAGAACAGGCTGTAAAATATTAGTAACACTTAATTTAATTTAATTTAATGAAAATCATTCAGTGATTCTCAAGTAACATGTGGCAGACAGATGGGCTCAGACATGATGATGCTAACAGGCATATTTTTTGCAAATTTTGTTGTGAACACACCATGAAAGCTGATCTAATAAACTGTAATTACCTGCTTCTTAGGTATCTTAAAACTGACAACTGGTAACAGTTTGCAAGAAATTACTAATGAATGTGAATAGTGTAGTAAGCTTTGCCAATTCAGAAGAATCTAGCTGTGAAGAGTACAACCTCTATGGAACAGCAACAATCACACTGAACAAATTTTTGTACATAAAAGTAATAAAAAGGTAAAGTTGTCCCTGTGTGTAAACAGCAACAATCACACTGAACAAATTTTTGTACATAAAAGTAATAAAAAGGTAAAGTTGTCCCTGTGTGTAAACAGCAACAATCACACTGAACAAATTTTTGTACATAAAAGGTAATAAAAAGGTAAAGTTGTGACCCTGTGCTTAACTAATTAAGCACTACACCATGAAGGTGTATGGGGGAGTGGATGTAGAGATCCACATTTCCTTGATCTCGGCACTAGCTGGAGGTAAGTGGTCAGCTTTATGCCTTGGCCGCTTTACCCCCATGGAAAGAGCCCGCAGTACCCATTGAATAGGAGGTTGGATGAACCCCAGAGTTTGTCTGGATGATGTGGAGAAGAGAAAATTCTTTACCCTACTGGGACTCAAAACTCCGACCCCTCAGTCATCCAGCCTGTAGCTACTTGCTACACAGACTACGCCAGCCCAGCTTCTACATAAAAGGTAATACTTAAGTATAACTGAATCTTTCAGAGTGGCTGCCTGTGATACTGACTACATGACAGGTGCAAAAATACATAAATGAATAATCAAAGTCTGATATGAAAAAATTTAAATTCAAGAAACTAAACAGCGTAGGAACACATGACTAAAAAAAGGGGGTCGGAAACCAAAGCTAGTAGTAATTAGGAACTTAAAAGGTTTTGACATTCAAGTAGTCCTTGCTGGGGAGTGAGGAACCTGTGATGAGACAACGACATGTCACATTCCTACTGGAGCACAACACTGCTGTAGGAATGCCACATCTGACTTCTTTGTACAAATCCTATAGCCAGAACAGCTGAAACATGCTAACAAATGAAACATTTCCTCATTTACAAGAAGGAATTCTGAACAAAGCTCATGAAACCTTATGTACCTACTGAGTAGACTTATAGTCCCACACATCTGTTGTTATTTTTGGTGTTGTTGATCACAATCTCAAAGTTCCACACTGTCATCACATTTGTAATTACTGACTTACGAACAACAGTTAATACAGTATGTGGTGGTATGTTTACAAGCTATCTCCATACCAAATCTCACACGTATAGCGCCAATGGTTTATTATTCATTTAAATAAAAGTAAAAGCCGCAGACAGTTTTTGCACAACTGACATGTAATTTTATCTATTATAAAAAAAGTAAGCTATCAGAAGCTAAATATATTTCAGAGCTATTACTGTGCACCACATCACAAACCTTAATTTATGTGTTGCTCCCATCTCACAAGTCTGTGCACAAACCATGTTGTTATTAATGACAGGAAATAGAAAAGATGATGAGATGGACTCCAAGAGCATACTGTCCATGCCATGTTTAGTGAATACTGGTCAAGGTAGTTCAAAATTTGAATCAAGGCATACCCACACACAGAATACTGATCTCATAAAACGACTTTCTTTCCTTATGCAAAGTAGACTAAAGCATACAGTTCACATCATTTTATAACCTCAAAGTTAACAGAAATAAAAACTCTATGCACAGAACTACAATGGTTTCAAGACTTAACTTGGAAATTGATTAATTGTCTAAAAAAAATTCTGACAGTCCAGAAAAGGCTCTTGAAGCATTTTAGACACACAAGATGATCAAAGTTCTGTACCAGAAATTATAATAAATTGTGAACAATACTACTATATAATACAGCCAGCTTATGGTTGTGTAAACAAGCCAGGCCTGCAACTTAAACAACCAACACATGGCAGTGAAGGCGAAGGTAAAGGTAACAAACCTGGCTGCTAGTCTTTGTGGGACTGCGGGATCCCCAACCACCAGGAGGAGAGGGTGCTTCTTTTCCTATCACACCGGTCACATTTTTTTCAGTAATAGTCTCAAATTGAACTGTTCCTGGTGGTAGGTGTTTAATTCGGATTGCACTTTGTCGACTACAAGAAAATGATGACTGATCCTGAAATCAAACAACAAAAGGAACTGAAGATAAAAATCCAAATATAAAAAAATAAGGTGAGTTACTGAATTACAAAATTACACAAATGAAACAGATATGAATAATGACAGCAAAATGAGATCAACTGAGCATGTCTCCCATTAATCTGTAACAATAACCATTGAGAACAAGGAAAGAGTACATACATACACAAAGGTGATAGAAGGAAACATCATACTGTCTACTTTCTTTGTGAGCAGACAAATCAAAGGCTTCTCACTGAAGAAATTTTCTCTGAACCACGCTTCACCACTGCATATCTGTCACTGCATCTTCCTTTCTTTACCATCTGACACACTTAGCAAGAACAGTGAAGAGCGAAAATCCTGCCTATAAGGGATGTGATCCATATGCAAGACACTAAGACAGCTTGTGGATTAAGGATATGGAACAAAGGAAATGTTTTTTTACGTGTACAAAGGTATAAATAAATACCGTTTCTTGCAGGTTACCAGTATATATTATTCTTTTTCATTCTGAACCCTGAGGTATTGTATCCATACGCTTCAAAGGTTGATCCTCCTTACCCATTATTTCCAAGAAAATAAAGCCCTTGGACAGCATGGCTTCGATTACCATGGTATAATTCAAGAGCACAAGTCTCTGTTAAAAAAGGGGTTACTGTACCTCAATATTTCTGCTTCCATGCACTACGGATATAACACTGTATTTATGTATGTAGCATGAGCACCTTTTCTCTGAAATTAATTTCCAAATAACAGAGTGCTGGCCTACATGAAGATTTTCATTTTTCAAGCAGGCAGTTCCACATTCACATAATATTAATGAAGTTCCTGCAACAGTATTTGATGTACAAAGCAGCACATATCATGTTTCTTTTTAAGTTGCACACCACTTTCTGGCAGTAGACAAGTATCTCACTTGTGTAGTCATGCAAATGTTCCCATGACAATCAGGCAAGTCAGCCTCAGCAGCATACCCATAACTGTTCTTACAAACAGAGATACTGGGTTTTCGGACTTTGTCCATACTCCGGATTCTATATAACTAAGAAAAAACACAACATTTCAGAAACTGGATCTGTTTCCATTCTCAGGTGAGGGAAGACACCTACTCTGTTGGGTCCCTTACAAAGAGCTAGCCTCAATCACTGGACAACTGATGTCACAAAACACTAAGGCTATAAACAGCTGAGACCAGGCTAAGTCCATGAGACCTAACAGAAAAGAAATGTAAACTAAAAATTGTTCCAAGCATGCACATGCATGGGACCAGGACAGATATGGAGGTAGAAATTTATGCCACGAAACCAAACTAATAACCAATAACTAACAACACCAACAGAGTAGGTGTCTTCCCTCACCTGAGGATAGAAACAGATCCAGTTTCCGAAATGTTGTTTTTTCTTAGTTAATTAGAATCCGGACGATGGATAAATTCCAAAAACCCAGTATCTCTGTGTTATACACCATCGTCAGAACTCTATAGTATCTACTTGTTACAAAGGTTAAAGAGTTATCATACATGTACTAACATGACTAAGAATCTGAGGAGAGTTACAGACTAGGAATTAAAAATCTTGTGTTTTGAAGAATCAGAAAATTGTGCAGCAGGAAGAAAGTCTGATGTGCTACAATCTAGCACCAGAGACTGGAGTAAGATGAAAGATACATTACTAGCACATCCTTCTACTGAATCATTTTGAGGGAAACTCACAAAATATCAGACCCTTTGAAACCATTTCATGGACTTCACTTTTCACCAGAGCACAGTTATAATCAATATTTGGGCAGTATACCACAGTCGTATTGCATTTCTTCATTCTTCATATTTTCATTATGAATGCAGCTAAACTCCATCAAATATTTACTGCAAATTTTCACCAGTTTCCTTTGCCACCCTTTTCCCTGATATCTACTCTCAAAAACAGGGTGCACACTGTATCAATAGGGATACAGAAATAAATATGGCACTTCAAAAGTCAGTGTTCCAGCATCATGCTCTATAGCTGAACATACATATTCACATGTCATGTATTATTTGTCAGTGTGAAATGAACGTAAAAAGCAGAACCACTAATTATAATTCAATAGCTCCACAAATATAGTATTAGATAAATTGTTGAATAAGGTAGTAAACTTTAATAAAGACCAATTATTACTGACTTACAGGAATATGTCTGCTCTATAAAGAGGCAGTTCTCAACAAACATCACAGCTGCCGCTGTCTTATCACCTCATAATCACTGAATTGCATTCATTTTTGATCACTCTTCATTTGAAAATATAAAGTGGCCACCTCATTTTTTAATGAGAACAACTTATCGTCTTACTGCTGGGTAAATATGGTACAGGAATAGTTAGTATAAAATCTCTGGGTGTCATGGCCACACACTGGCATGCATCAAGACACGACGTCTGTGACATGATGCAAAGAAAGGAGCAAAGTTGAAACGAATGAGATTATGAAAACCGTAGCACACCGGTCTGAGTCATGATGCTGATGTCAGCTTCATGCTGACCAATCACGAATGAAGCAAAACTGAGTCTTTTGTCTCATGTCTTGATGCTTGTCTTGATGCAGTTGGTGTGCACTGCCCTTAAAGACCTCACTGATGATGAACTACTATCAGTAAACAAACTTATAAGAAATTAAGAATTTTTAAAACTAATGATTGCAAGAAATCTGCATTACAGAATTAATGTGTGGTAACGGAACACACTTTGGAAGTAATCTTTATCAGGCATTCTATGCTAAACTAAAAAATGAAAAATATTTAAATTAGTGCATACCTGGACAACAGTGAATTCTACTTCATCACCAACACAGATTTCACGTTCAACATCCAAAACTTCATTGAAGTGGAAGAAGAGGCGTGTATCTCTATCTGTGCAGCGCAGAAAGCCAAATCCCTCTTTAAGTGCTGCCACAACTCCCTGCTCCCGGCGTTCTCCAGACACCAAGAATGATTCGTCAAGCAAGGCAATGTTGGTGGCTCGACGTAACTGGTCTCGTCGATCTGTTGCCACTTGAAACTGTACCCAGTCTCCATGCCTGTTTCAACACATCAGATCATTCTCCTTTCCAGTAATCTGCATTAAGGTTTCATCATGTTTGCAAACAGATACATCCACAGCAATTACTATACTTGTACATACCATGCAAATATGAACCTTTAATATAGCATACTGCAACATAGGCTTTCAATTGGCTTATTCATTCCCTTCAGCTTCATGCTTGGTGTGCAGCAATCATGGATGAGAGAATGATTACAGATAATGGCTGAGACAGCCCTTTTGCATATTTCTATAGTTTAATGGTGCCACTGGGTTCACTGATATGGTTACATATGAACAGTTACCCTGAACTATGAATGTGTAGGTGGTTATCATGTTCGAATCCCACTCAGGGCATGGATGTTTAGTTTGTGTGTGTGCGTTTTGCTGTATTTGTGTACAGGTAGAGGCCTTGCGACGAGCTGTTCACCCGTCCAAGGAGTCCTACTGAACGTGTAAGATCTAGAAAAACCGAAGTGAACGGAGAAGTTCATGGAGGTAGGCCTAGGCCCACTGGGGCTGTAGTGCCAAGAAAAAAAAAAAAGGTGGTTATCATGGCCCAGTTCTGAATATTCCAGGTAAAACTCAAGAAAACAACTCCCAGCCCCTCTCTCAGTAAGGTTAGCAGTATGTGGTGAGTGTGTACATCCTGGGTATCAACACCTCAGTCTGTGGAACAGCAACGATCAGATCTAGTCTGAAGAAACACACCCCTACAAATTGCAAACAAAATCTCCACTGAACACTCACTAGCTTGTTCATAGGGCATCATCAAGAACATGTGTGTGTATATATAGGGAAGTTCTTGCCTATGTTGACCAGTTCATGGCACTGCACTTCACAGCAACCAATGCAAAAGCTGACTGTGAGGCAGATATGAATTTTGCTGATGAATCAATATGCCTGTTGGCCAATAACATTCAGAATGATGTAGTTACACTTCACAGATCACAGGAGGTGTTGAAAATGATGTCCCTCTACAAGCAGACAATCCTTGCACCAGCAGAAGAGGTTCTGATGTACTTGTACCCCTTGAAGTTGTTGTGCAGGAATATTTGCAGTTCCCCTATAAATGTTTACTTTTAGTTCTTAATTGTGGGGGTTACTGTTGCAAACTTCATCCTTCAAACAACTCCAGAAAAAAAAAATTCACAAGGATCCAGATTGGGTTAACATGTTGATCAAATACAACTGTTAATTCCATCCCTGAAAACTTCGGACAAAGCCTGCACAAATATACGCGAAGTGTAGGCAGTAGCTTTACTGTCTATTGTTACCCTCCTATCAGTCTGAATCAACTCTTCCACCTGTTGCACAGCTGTATCTGTCGTGATCTCAACAGGGTGACCTGATCAGGCATCATCTGCAACTTTCAAACATCCTTGAGAGAAGTTCTCAGTAAGTTGTGAACTGCTTTACATGACAAACACTTCCCGTGGTAAACAGGAAACATTTCTTTATGAATAAACTTAGCATTGAGTCCTTTTGCCCACAGAAAACATACAAGAGAACGTTGCTCTTCTGTAGTATACTAGGCACGGTTGCCATTTTGACTGCTGAAACCAGTCTCTGAATATGTGCATGTGCGTCTGCTACCTAGACTATCATGAAGCTGGACTGTGCTGCTACCTAGTGATATACACAGAAAACCTATTACATCCATTAGAGTTGAAACATTTGAGTTTTCCATGGCAGTGACTACGAAGTATACCAACTTCTGGGATGAGGAGCCGTGTAGATCGTGTGTAAATGAACGTTTCAGAGCCACCTGCTCACTCTGGTTCCTCACTTGTGGATTTTCCTACCCTGAAGATGGTCTTATACGGTCCTCCAAAACATCAATTCACACAAGATCTACATGGCGCAACATTCCAGAAGATGACATTCTTTATCCATTACAGTTGTTTTACTTCTATGTGTGACCTATTAACTGACTCTCCTTCATATGTATCCCTGCAAGTGAAACTATGCTTCATCAGAAAAGAATGTCAACTGTGGATCGATCTCACCTTCAACAACTGTAGAAACAAACTGCAAACAATGAACCCTGCTAGCTGGATCGCACTGGCTGAAAGGTGTGGATTACTGTTGTTTTATATGGTCTAAGCTTCAGTCCCTTCTTGCACTAGACTGACACCCCAGTCTCTTGAGCTAGATGTTTTAGTGATTTTCTAGGTGCATGTTCAAGTCTGGCTCCTATGCCATCTAATTTCTCCTCAGCAAACACTCGGCACTTATATTTTTGCCTTGTCTATTAAGACTCCCACTGAACTAAGTTTATTCACAAAATTGTGAATTGTCTGTATCTTCCACCACAGAATTTATGTTGAAATTTTCAGACACTTTCTAGCAGATCCATATTTCACATAGGTTTCATATAGAAATACACGTTGCTATAAAGTATATCTCATCATGACATACCCATACTGCTCACTAAAATGACTGAAAAACAAATGGCTAATGGTGCTGATAATTGCTGCCCACTGCTGACAAACCATGGACAAATTCCATGCACGAATCACATTGCTTTCAGTGAAACATAATGCCATCAAGCAGTCCATAAAATTAATAATCTTCCTTCATTAGAAACATCATTGGCCATCAGGCATGGTGATTCATTGTCAAATTTCATATGCACCTTGTACACAGCGAGGCATCAGTTACTGTAAGGCACAGCTCCGTGAACCAGTAAACAAAGGTAAGAACTTCCCTGTATTATTCACACATACAGTCCGGACAAATATCATTCACTGATGGAAATCTGCTTTTTCCCATGTCAGCTTTGGTTAGCAGTTTGTGCCCAACAAAATATGCATAAACAGGGGTTGTAGCACAATTTAAAGTACTATTTTGGGATTACCCTGCAGGGACACAGGAAAGACTCCATTCAGGGTAACCTGTCTTAGGCTGAGATTTGAACTTGGGATCTGGTTATGAAGCACCAGTGCTAAGAATTCAAATACAATACTCAGTGCCAGAAACATTAAAAATATGAAATTAAAAAAACTACACTTGTTACTGTAAGTGAAACACAGGCTACATATCAACTGTTTCTCCCATCCCATCTAAAATTGTTAGTGCCCCGAGTCATTAGTTAGACCAGAAAAAATTGTGGACTGCTTGAAACACTATTCCCAAGTGGCAACTATGCAGTAATGAGCTTGACAGGCCTGACTTTATGTAATGTTAAAAAAGGGCAAATGGTTAGTTCCTACTGCCTTAATTTAAAAGGGACACTACTGAGCCTGTTAAGATTATTCAGATGACTACAAGACTAAGACAACCTAACAAAGGCCAAGAAGTCTGAGAAGAGGACAGCAATGCCAGCATGACCATCATATCACAAACAATAAAGAAAATTTACTTCTTTACACTGTGGCCAGATAAACCTCACAAGACTATGGATGTGATAATGTGCTGCTTCTTTAAGCCTATCACACACCATAAATCTGATATAAAATGACCCGCAATTCAATCCAAACTTCCATGGAGAGAAGTCACCACTTAACCCTCTGAGCTATTGCATAATCACATCATAAACGACGACGATAATAATGACATTAATAAACAAAAAAATTCCGATTTAAAGACTTGTTTATTATGTTCTTACTGACTGAGTTCATGATGGCATCGGTACTGAGCCTACATAGCATCAAAACTTTATTTGATAAAGAACTCTTAAAAAACAAATTAAATATAAAATACCAGTAGATATGTTTATGCAAACATTAAATTTCTAACAGTATAGAAAAATCTGTGAATGGGAAGTAGTAGTTAAGGCATAATTAAGGCCATCAAAAACATCTTCTTCATACAGTATTAGCTGAGTGTTAGGGCCGCGCCATAGCTCAAGCGGTTAGTCGCTGGCTTCCCACGGCGGCAGACTGGGTTTGATCCCGGGTCTGGTCAAGTGGGATTTGTGGTGGACAAAGTGGCGCTCAGGCAGGTTTTCTCCAAGTACTTCGATTTCCCCTGCCAATCTTCATTCCACCAACTGCTCCACAATCACACTCACCTATCATCTGGGGCTGCTACAATAGGCCAAAAGTGGCCGCAGTACAAGGGACTTAGTCCCACCCCACTAGCAATAATAAAAAAGTGTTAAGGATTCAGAGAACTCTGTTCCCTTGCAAGTTTCTTTCCACCAACAAAAGAACACTTACTTTAAGGTGAAGTCTCTTTTCTGATCCTTGTCGCCAAATGGCACTTCAACTTCTGAATGATCACGTGCACGGTATCGGATACGTCCTGGTAAGGGGTCATTCTGATGTCGTGGTTGCTGCCCACGCTCCAGTGGTTTCAAAACTTGTCCCTTCACAATGTCTGTACATATATCTTCAAAGACCACACTACCTGGTTCCAGCTTTGTGATACTGCATGCTACTTCCTTGCCCTGTACAAGGAATTTAGCAAATTTAAACATATTTGATACTTAAAACAAAATATTATAGTTACTTCTGCAATTTGTAGTCAACTGTACAAAGCAATGATTAACAGACTGTAAATCTTTTACAGGAAGCAATGTGCAAAGAATAAACAAGATGGAAACTGAAACTAGTATATAAATAATAAAAAGTGACAAACTGCACAGTGGACAGAAAATAAACAGTCAGAATTGCGATGAGTATGTAAAATATGATATAAAGTGTGGAACTTTAATCAGTCTGTAAAGAACACAGCACCCAATGAAAAGCTAAACTTTTATGTTGCAAAATATTATATGGCTGTTAATTAAGTCAAATTCCATAACCTGTCTTCCATTAAATAAATAATCAATTAATTCATAAGTTAATGAAAACCTTTTTCAATTTTATTCATTCTGGTCCGTCACACTAGCTAATTATCATAAAATGTTTTGACAAGACCATCCATTGTGACTCAGTATATATTTATATAATGCCTTTACATTTTTTGGTCAGGTGTGGCCATCTTCAGAAGGCAATAACGACATGCTAACGAAACGATATTATGGAAATCATTATTTCTTTATTTGTTTAATGCTACTGGGGTGGGACTAAGTCCCTTGTACTGCGGCCACTTCTGGCCTATTGTATCAGCCCCAGATGACAGGTGAGGGTGATTGTGGAGCAATTGGTGGAATGAAGATTGGCAGGGGAAACTGAAGGACTTGGAGAAAACCTGCCCCTCGCGCCACTTTGTCCACCACAAATCCCACATGCTCAGGCCCAGGATTGAACCCGGGCACCTTGGCGGGAAGCCAGCAACTAACCGTTTGAGCTATGGCGTAGCCCTACAGAAATCATAGTACATATGCTTATAATTTTGTATTAAGATTTTTAATTAAGTTATAAGACATTTAAATTAAAAATAAATTATTAATGTTCTTAATATTTAAAGTCTTGAACTACTGAGGTGTGTCTTCTTTGAAAATGGGAGGAAAACGCTGCCCAGACCTCAGAAGACGGCAAATAACACCCCACTCTCCATTTTTTTTTACCACAGAAGAGGATTACTAGTACACTGATTTAAAGTTTATCAGTCTGACCTCACTATCATACTGCACTCTCAACGGGCTACATGACTGAAACTACTGTGAGCATGATATTCTCTGCTACAGCAAGAACAAATTTCATGCTTAAAATGCTCTCTATACAATTTGTTGTCAGAATCATAAACATATCACAATATTTCCTATGGAATTTTAGAAAATAATTTCTCTATTCAAGAATGGTGCCATTTTAACAACAATACAAATCATGCGTGGATCATATAATTTGCTATACAGTAAGTTAAAGCATCATGGTAATGAAAACACAAATTAGAGAGGAGGGAAACACCAATTCAATATTAAAAAAGAAAAAACTCAGATGCTGTATATTTCCAAATTAAATGCATATGCTTAAAAGAGTATGGGAAATCACACTATGAAGCACTCACATTTCTGGTCTGGATGGTGAATTCCACATCATCATTAAGTCGCAGCTCCTCTTTCATTTTTGCCTCTGAGAAGTGGAAAAAGATCTCCTTAACTACATCAGCTCGTTCGATGAAACCAAAGCTCTCCTTCATGGAGCAGACCACACCTTGGTATTTTACTGGATGTGCAGGGTTCTCCAGCCGAATATGGCAGGCCCCCAGGTTACCACTGCTACACAGACAAAGTGGTCAACCAAAGGAGCGATGCCATACTACTGCATCACACAAACTACATATAAAGAGCAGAATTTTCAACTATGTGAAGTTATAGTCTAGTCCGTAGTCTAGAGGTAACATTCCCACCTCATGACTCACGGTACGTGGGTTCAAACCTGGCGGAGGTCGTGGAATTTTTAAGGGCGGAAAAATTCAGGGAACAAGTCCTCTGGGAGGGACTTCAAGCTGTGGGTCCAGTGTCATAGCTTTATGGCACGTAAAAGAACCTCGTGTCTCAAGGAGGCCTCTGAGCTAAATTATATCGGACATTTACCACATAACAAGAGTCTCTAATGCCTCTGGTAGATGGGGGAAGCATCAGGTACCGCTGAGCCAGTAGAGGCCGAACTCGCTGGCTGAGTCAGGGCTGATGGCACACACCAGTACCGGTAGGGTATAGAGACTGGTAGAACATCAAAGGGGATGTACAATACACTATTAGTCGCAGTGCATGGGGAAACCCACCCCCTCCAACAACAACAACAACAACAACAACACCAACAACAACAACAATAATAATAATAATAATAATATAGATATATTAAACTTTACCGCTGATTGGTGGCTATCTGGAAGCTGACTTTGTCTCCTGAGCACAAGGTAACATTTCCCTCCACATCATCTTTGTTGTAAGGCAGGAAGAAGCACTCTCCACGATTCTCATAACTGATCCGTCCTTGTGTGTCACCACCAGAGCCTTCACTGCGCAATTCTGTTGTTACAGTACCTGTTACTCGTTCTTCACTCAATACCTGAATATGAAATTGTATACAAAATCTTCTAATTTGTAAATAACAAAACCACATCATTATGCCCAAAGAAGAACAAATGTGTCACTTACAACTTCTGGTGCTATTTTTGTTACAGCACTTGCTATTGGTTTTCCAGTCCTCCGGTCATATGTCATCTCAAATTCAACTGGATCCCCAATCTTGAGATGTTCTATATTCCCATTGAATTGACTGAAGTGGAAGAAGAGACGTGCCTGACGCTCACAGCACTGAATGAATCCATAAGAGTGCTGACAAAAACACAATTTAATTTTGAAAACACATTTTGTTTACACTGCAGAGAGTGAACATTTTACAATTAATACAAGGAAGATAACCTAGTAAACTACAGCACATGCAAATACATAGGTCAGATAAAAAGTAGTGGCAACACCTCTATAGTTCTGAAATGACTTTATTACCTGAGGTAAACACACTTACATTCCTGCAATATAATCGCCCCCCCCCCATGTGTACCACCACCTGCAAAATTTGTGGAAGGCATTGTACACCATCAGCGCATCCACTTCTGTTGATGTCCAGCAGTGACCACCCTACAGCATGAATAATCTCCTCTCTTGTGTTGTAACGTGTCCCTCGCAGTGGTTCTTTCATTTTGGCAAAGAGATCATAATCAGACAGACTCATATCGGGTGAGTATGGCGGATGTTGCAGTATCTCCCATCGCCAGCAGTGAAGGAGATCCTTGACAGCGTTGGCAGTATGAGCCCTTGCATTGTCATGAAGGATGATGGGGGTTCGTTGTCAACAAGTGTCGTCGCTTTCTCCTGAGTGCTGGACGAAGATGATTATGCTGGAGACTGCAATAGTGGGCAGTGTTTACTGTCTGTCGTTGAGGTACAATGTGGTGCAGTATCACTCCATCAATGTCGTATGCCACAATGAACATTGCCTTCACATTACTCTGTGTAGGGCACACTTTCTTTGGATGAGGAGAGCCAGGATGCTTCCATTCATTTGATTGTCACTTCAAGTGTGGTTCGTATGAGAGAACCCAAGTTTCGTCCAGACTGACAATCCTTCCAAGGATGTCGTCACCTTCCCTCTGGTACCAGTCCAACAAGTCCTGTGCAATTGCATAATGTTGCCATTGTTGCACCTCAGGCATTTTATGGGGTACGCAACACACTGCAATTTTGCGGTATCCAAGAATATCCTGCAGAATGTGGAGCACGGTTTTGTGATATACGCCTACCTCAGCAGCTAACTCCCGCGCAGCCCATCGACGATCGACATCCAGCAAAGAAACAAGAAGCTGAATTGTGTGGTTGTCAACGTGGGGTCGTCCTGAACAATGGCTGTCCTGAATGGCATCCCTCCCTTCACGGTACAATTTCACCCATCATGCCACTGTGCGATATGGCAAAGCAGCATCATCACATGCTTCTCGCAGTCCCTGATAACAGTTTTGTGCACTACGACCTCATGCAACTTCAATTTTTTTCCAGGAGTGTTGTTATTGTTTTGTAAACATGCTGTTAGGGTGCTTGAACTGGGATCCTGCACTTCAAGATGATGCACAATGCAACTCAATGAAACACAACCAGAGCCACTGACTGCACTACTTCAATTGAACTTCTGCTATCAGCTACAGATGGCACTAGTGCCACCTGACGCACATCTCTCATGTTACAGCAGTGTTGCCACTACTTTTTTATCCAACCCTTGTAATAACAGAAAAATTCACCACTTAGGCAATCAAAAAAGAAGGCACACAGGCAACATTTTAGGGTTAGGAACAATGATTTACCTGGTTTTATGACAAGTTAGCAATTTCTAAAACTTACGAACTCTAAAACGTGCACTTTTATAGAATGGGGGGGGGGGNGGGGAGACAAAGGGTGTAGGTTTTGAATGTAATCTTAAATTTTGTCATTGCATTTTCATGTTTTATGGTAAACCCTGGTATGAAGCATTTTACTGGTCCTTGACAGAAGGAATAACAAAGAAGATGCATCAGCTAAAATTTTAAAATATATCTGGAGTCAGATAATTTTGGAACCCACCCATTGTGATCTCTTACATTAACATCATTTTGAGACAGCTGACATATTAAATCCCTATTTCCTTGTAAGCAACCAGCTCCTGTTACACTGAGAGGTATTTAAGAAGTTGCCTGTATGTAAGCAGTATACATTAACAGGCACAATAAATCAAAAGAACAGAGCACACTTCTATCTGCCCCTTAATCAATGCAATCTCCACATTGGTCAAATGAACTTCCACCACGTTACATCTATGCTGAGGTTGTTACATTCAGACAGCAAAACTCTGATAATCTAAAAATGGAATAAATATAAATAATGGAAATACAGAAAATCTATCTAATTGACTACACTATGATTTTCTTCCACTATCTTCATACAGAATACACACAACTACATAATAACCCTATATAGGAAAACAGAAATGGAAAATTTGACTGTGTATGGCCATATGGAGTGGAAGTCCACATCTTAATACTGTGTGTAGATGGACTATATCATAAATTATAATTCTTACAGTTCATTAAAAACCAAACTGACACATGCAGAACATTATATTTAAGGGCATTAATACACTTTTCCCTAATTCTGTAATGGTCTTCCTTGAAAAGTTGTTATCCAAATGAATAAGAAACTCCATCTTTATGTAACACAAAGATTCATCACCACATTCACGAAAACCCATCACTGGACCCTATCTCAAGCTAGTTCAATGCAATTCACATCTCAAAATCCCCATTTCTCTAATATCTAGTTTAATATCACACTCCCATGTACATGTAGTCAACCCAAGTGTTTTCCTTTGGAGTCTTCAAACCAAAATAGTATACTTAAGAGTATTTCTTGTCTCCCTTACACATGCCACATATCTTGCACACTCCATCCTTTTTTAATGTGTCTTGGGATGATTATGCCAGGGAGCATGAACAACTTAGCAAAGCACACAAATGGACCCTCAGTAAAAAGTGAAGTTATCCCTGGGCCATCAAGACATATGGGGGAGCGGATGTATAGAGCCACACATTCTTGACCTCAGCAACAGCTGAAGGTGAGTGGTCAGCTTCATGCCCCGGCCACTTTACCCTCCTCCCCTCAAGAGTCCCCCGTACATGTTGGACACAAGGCTGGGTAAGGCCCACAGCCAGTCTGAGCGACATGGAGAGGAGAAAAATCAAACACTGACCCCTCGGTCTCATGGACCTTCAGTAAAGAAGCAAATTTAACACACCATGATATCAGTGAATAACTCACTTTATGATTAAAAGTCCATACAGAGCCTACCAACAAGTACCAGAAGAGATTTATTAGCTTACTAACATTTTCTGAATAGTGTAAGTTATGCAGTCATGAATCATGTGAGAATGAGAAATACTGTAAATGATGACACTGAAGGAGATAGTCATGACCTAGTTTACCTTAACATTCAGTTTTCCTGGAAGGACTGAGGAAAACAATACCCTCAGTCAGAATACTGTTCCCAGGCCAAGGTTTGCATTTTCAACCTCCAACATATAAAGGAGTGCTAGTAACTATACTTGGGCATTTGATGGTAGGTCTACAGCTTTCACTGTTCCCCATAACACATACTAAATACGTGGAAATCATTTTTAAGAGGAACAGGCACGCTCACGTGACTGTTCTGCTCTCTGGATTTGACAGTTCTGATGATTACCATGGTCATTAATGTGAAAGAAGCTTCACCCATGGAAGCACAGGCCTTAAAAATTGTCATTAATTTTATTTAACACAAAATTTGCACATTCAACCCTTTTTAAAAAATCAGTATCTTTGATTTCATGCCTCATTTGAATTTTGTAGGCATATAATTTCAACTGCTTATGCACCATATTTTGCATTGTGATTTTGGGGTGTACCAAGTTGCAAGTGATGAGTAATAGATTTCTCTGTATTCGATGCTGTGTGTGTTCAACATCCTCTTTCAAAAAGTGTGGGCCTCCTGGTGACTGTTTCTTATTTCCTTAAATTGAGTAAACAAATGACAAATCAATTTGGAACGTGGAGGTTCTCTTCTCCTTGTCTCCTGAAAATTGTGTTAACATTTATAATGGATCAGAACTTGGCACATTATATGCTGCACTGGGTTTTCTCCCAAACAGTTGCCATCATACTGTGTTCGACACACAATTTTACTGCAACTAAGACCGTAGTGTGCTCACACAAGTGCAGTAGGTGAGGATAAAAAATTCTGAGTTTCGGAACATTTCACAAAAAACCCCATTGATTATATGTTGCAAATTAAACAATATATTAAACTTCAAAACCAACAACTTATTTTCTGATGGCCCTCTAAAATATGTATATTCTGTTACCACTGTTGTCTTACATCTGCCAAACAAATACACCTATTTTTCTAGTTCATCCTTCATTCTAATCACCCAACTGTTGAGCTTAATATTATTCCTCTGCCAATATTTAACAGTGTAACCACCCACCGACGTACAGCTGCCATGACTATTGCTCGAGATGAGTTCTTTATCTCGAGGATACGGGTGCTTCAGATATGGGAAGTGGAACACACTTCAGGGTTCATGAATCCAGAGTCTCCACGACACACTGTGTATTGCAGTCTTAATCTAAAATTTCATATAGTGATCAATCCTTATATTATTCCTCCAAGCTAGCTGCTCCATCACACTTAACCTTTTTACACCAAAATGCCCCCAGCTCACTGATCATACATGCCACTCACAAGCTACCCTCCTGTAACTCCCTTTTCGACTGTCCACCTCCGCTCCTTGTAAACAATTGCCTCTCTTTACAAGTCCTCCAAGCTAGCTGCTCCGTCCATCCTACTCACTACCCCTACTGTAAAACACTTCTCTGTTCTCTGTCTACATTTCAACAACCATCACCCTCAGTTCCCTATAACCGATTGCCCTCTCTTTACAAGTCCACCAGTGGGCATAAAAAAAAAAACAAGAAAATAAAAAGAGAAAGCCAAGGGTCGAGCCTGGCATCTGTCCTACATTTGTATTTTTCGAGATGCCCATAAACNAATGCCCCCAGCTCACTGATCATACATGCCACTCACAAGCTACCCTCCTGTAACTCCCTTTTCGACTGTCCACCTCCGCTCCTTGTAAACAATTGCCTCTCTTTACAAGTCCTCCAAGCTAGCTGCTCCGTCCATCCTACTCACTACCCCTACTGTAAAACACTTCTCTGTTCTCTGTCTACATTTCAACAACCATCACCCTCAGTTCCCTATAACCGATTGCCCTCTCTTTACAAGTCCACCAGTGGGCATAAAAAAAAAAACAAGAAAATAAAAAGAGAAAGCCAAGGGTCGAGCCTGGCATCTGTCCTACATTTGTATTTTTCGAGATGCCCATAAACTTTTTGGGTCTTCAAGGTACATGAGCAGGGAACCCAAAACCCCTCCTGGCTGGTCTCACACAATGTCAGTTAATGGGTTTATGACACTATGAGCAAACAGGCGACATTAGGGACAATACTGACAACCTAAGCCTAAGGATGGTATCTTGCCAGAGGAGCATCTATCAGGGTGTGAAACAATGCCTAAATTGGTCATGCCCTTAATTAAATAATTTTGGCAAGGGACATATGGTTACAACAGTTAGCCACATTATCTTTCCTCTCCTACCATCTCTCTATAACCCCACCTGTGCTCCACCATTTACTGCACAACATGGTATTCCTAATATTCTCTGATAAAATTTACAAATAACCAATTTCATTCTATGTACCAAATATACACCATAATTCTAAATAACAGACCATTCTAGAGTCAATTATCATTTCATAAATGTTCTCCAAAATCTAAACATACTCGTACATATCTGATGTCCTAGCTGAACATTCATCAATATCTATTAACATACAACTGCTTCATGTCATAGTTCTCCTCTTCAATTTTTCCCATCCACCGGTACCATCTGAAGTTGTTTTTAAACAGATTATTTACTTGGCTTGCTCTAAACTTTGACCTTCCATCATCCATCTCTCATCTTTCTCCAAGCTGCCCTCTTAAAGGAAAATTATTTTGGTCTCAGACACATCACACTTCAAACTCCACTCTTTATGGGATTTATAAACTTGATCTATTCTTTTGTGCAAATCATTCACAGTTAAAGATGTCACTGTCAAATCATTGGCATAAAACAACCTTGATAGCTACATCTACAACTTCTGTACTAGGCACATTTCTTACACTTACACTATCAATAATATTGCCTATAAAAATATTAAACACACATGAACTCAAACTGCATCCTTGTCTCACTCCTCTTGTTTGTGTTACAAAATTGGTCACTTCATTCACATCTCACACAAAATTTAAGACCCTCATATACTCAATATACTATAGGAGTGCAGTGTCGGTAACATACTTGTGGATCATCATGTCACTGTTAGCAAGTGACTACATTCTATTTTCAACATACTTTTGAAATAATATGCTTCTGGGAAACATACATACACAGGCTTTTTCTTCCATAATGTTGCTTACACATGTATAATGTACCCTGGCTCTAACAGCAGATGGACTCTACATATTACTAACACACTTTAAGTATTTCTCATCACTCCTTTTGTTCTCATTTTAAACCATAGAGCCTTCCTATGAACTGAATCAAAAGTGCTATCAAAATCTAAAAATTGCCAGTAAATTTTACCTCTTGCCATTGTAACTGCTATTATCTTTCAGACATGTGATACACTGGTAGTCACCACTTGCATCATTTTTTGCCTTTTCCATGAATGCAACACTTCAAAATATCAGCTGTACCTAACATGAATATGAAACACAATCCTGAATGCACTGTCTGAGTGAATAATGAGGGTCGATGGTAGTTTCCACCATTTTACATACCAGTGATGTGGGTTGCCTCTACAGCTGGTCCCTCACTCTTTGTAGATATCTACTTTCAAGAATCAGTCAGACAGTACAGGAAGCAATAAAGGTAATGTTTTCCCTGTGCTTAAATACTAATTAAGCACTAGGCCAGGAAGAAGTATGAGGAAGTGGATGTAAAGCTCCACGTATTCTTGTCCTTGGCACTAGTTGGGAAGTGGGTGGTCAGCTTCACACCCTTGTTACCCCAGAATCCAACGTCTAAATTGGTGGTGAGAAAAATCTGAGAAGTGCTCAGGGAAACAGTAACACTTTGCCACTGAACTTAAGACCAGCCTGGATATAACTCAAAACATCAAAAAGCACAAACTAATATACAAGCTCCATATCTAGTAACCAGTGATAACCACCTGTGCTAATATGCTAGAATAATTTGTGTTAAGACTTAACAGTCTCAAATAACACACAAATTCAGGAACAGATATGAAGTTTAGAATGATCAGTGTTTGATTTGGTCTGTGCAAATAGTTTTGATTAAGCAACAAGTTAAACAGTAATTTGCGTAGTTAGTTGTTCGAGACATCAATAAATCCAGAACTGACATTCACAAGCAAAACAAACTGCATTTTTCTCATATAATTTACTGATAACATCAATAGCTATTTTCTTCAAGTGCCCTAATTTTGTCAAATTCTTCTTGCTCGTACCATTTTCAGACAAATACAAATTATACAGTATGCAGAAAAGATGTAAATCTATTTCTGTGCAAACCACAACTCTAATGCGAAACAGGCAACATACCATACTACTGCGCAAAGAATGGTTACATACGAGTATATGGAAAAGGATCATACTGACACCAGATACTCTGTTCAAGAACCATTTAAAACCACAACAGTCAAATTAACATTTCAGATTAAAAGATATTAAATGTCAACTCCATGGAGTAGAACTGTCACTGGTCCCTGTCCTAAACAATATGCATCTATGTAGGATTTGAGGTTCCCACAGCAGTGGTTATGAAAACTACTATCTTCTGAGGTGTAACACCATGTAGTCCACTGAAAGTCAACTGATGTTTCACAGCAACATACAGCCTCCATTTTCAGGGTTGAAAAATAAGCTGAGCAAGACTATCAATGGACTACACAGTGTTAAAAACCCAGAAGACAGTTACTCTTCATATTCACCTAGCCCACATATCCAATACTATTTCTTTGAGACTCATTTTAATATCATCTGCCTATCTATTCCTAGATCTTCCAAGTTGCCTCTTCCCTCTGTGCTTCCAAACCAACATATTGTATACTGATATTACATACTTACCAATAACTTTTCAATTATGCCAGTTTCACGTGTGCCTTGATTACCAAGAGCAGAATCGTTGTAGCTGGAGCTGGAGTTGCTAGACGAACCAGTAGTATTTACTGAAGGAGATGCTATGGTGTCACCATTATACATGTTGTTGCTGCCTTCAGTTCCTGTGAATGTGCCAATTGGAAACCTCCCACCTCCTCTTGCATTATTTGAGGTGGAATACGAATTGTAATTTGATGCGTAATGGTTACTGGAAGTTGCCTTACTAGTGTATACATTATTAGAAGAGTCCTTTGGAGTTGACGATGCACCTTGATAATGATTATTACTGTTACTGAAAGCTGATCCATTTGGAGAGCTGTGAAAATCTGATGTGGTGGAATTGTTGGGAATCGTCAGAGATTTGAAGTCAAGTATTGCAGTGTCCGAGTTCATGCTTGGCGGCTGGAACGATTTCCACTGAGGATTATTGGACATAGTCTTTGATGAGTTACCTTTGTTTGATTATCTATGTATTTATAAACTTCGGCTTAAGAATGACATATCACAGAACGTTTCTTTGAGTGAAGTAACATCTATGAATGCGGTAGATATAATACAACGTGTAGCCTACTGTAGGCCTTTTATAATGCGGAAATGTACAAAACGTAAAAAAACACAATTGAGGTTTCCTTAGTTTCAGTTCAGCAATCATTAATTCAGTATTGTAATAATTCCAATAATGCCTATGGCAAACATTGATTGCTAGTGAGAAGTCTGAGTCACTTATGTTAATGGAGATCCTAAGTGAGAAATAAAGTTGGCAAAATCCTCAGATGTCTTCAATGCGTGCTGGGTGCGGATTGTGTTTGACTTACTTTTTTAATCCTTGATCGTTGTTTGAAGTTTTCTAATCTAACAAATACACAAACTGAAACCAAAGAAAAACAAGTCAATGTTATGTGCTGTCCATTTTGATAAACATTTCAATCTCAAAATCTGATATACATGCTACATAATACTGAAACAGTATATAACAATTGCCTTGTTAATAATTTTCTTTTGGAAACTTTAATCAAATTAAAAACCATTTCCAAAAGAGAAACAGAATACACTGTTATACGTTCTGATTCACTTTTTTGGGCCAAGAGAATACAAGACACCTCGGGGTAGATCAAAAGTCGTTTACTTTTGTGAGCCAAGAGAATGCAAAACACCTTAGGGTAGAACTAAAGTCGCGTACTTTGACCCACTACTCTTTGGCTTAAAAGTTTCAAGTCACTGATAATTTTAATTAGAGTGTCTTTAAGAGGTATATACTTTAATAAATTAATACGGAAGAAAACATACATTAACTTCAGGTTCAATAAATTTCTTGAAAAGCATACTATGAAAAACTGTATTCAGCCTAATATTTTGGAATACGAATATTTCTGTACATAGAGAATAGATAGTCACAAAATCCTCAAAATAAATTCTTAGATATTATTACATAAACACTACCCATTGCAAATAACAAGTTAACACTGTTATGATTAAATTATTATAAATTAACTGCCTCACCACGACACAGCACAGCACTGACGACATGCCGCCATGTTGAATGTCAACACTCGAACGCAAAATTCAAGAATCCGTAACTTTGTTCCCATTGGTCTTTTAACATATACGTCTGCAATATGGAAGCAATATTCCACGAAAAGGTGTGTAGATAACAAATTTATTGTCATACTGTGTATCAGGTTATAAAGTGCGAAATTAATATTATTTGGAATTTTCAGTGACGATCGCTGTGTTCGTGAATTTCAGTACCCTAATTTTAAAATGAAAATAAATCACACTTGCAGAACACCACTGCACGTCCACTGTGTATTGCATGATATATGGGAGCATGTATTTTTTCGGAAGACCAACAGTTCCCTTATTATGTGAAATATAATACTGTACTTAAGCTTAGTTATTCCTTGCCCAATATTTTCATAAATATGTGCTTTTAATCCTTGTAAATTGAGACTGATAATACACAATTCTCTTCCTTTAGCAAGAGGGTTCACTTTGTGCCCAACATTGCTTGAATGCATTGCTACAAGGATCGTATTTCACACCTGTTGACTTGGCAACCTTAGCACAGCGAATGGATGATGAAGAGAGGATGAGAATGGCAGAATCTGGATTAGACAGTGAAGAGTACAGAAGGTTTTTAGAGGTGATTAGATTTTCCACATAGTTGCATGTATTAGAACGGGAGACCATAGTTATGCAGACATAAGATAGCATCAGATATAAATTTGGAAGTGGGGCACATATTTCTCTCCTTGTTGCACTACTCAAAATATGCTCTTTCCACCACAGGGAAGCATCACCCATTTAGACATTTCTGCAGTACATAAGACTCCTACACTGTCTCCTACCACTTATGTTCTGTTATGTTATATGTCACAAATAAGGTTATTTTTGTTCTTTGTATACCTGTCATGTGATATCCTCAAACATGACACCCACTTGGGAGCATAATCAGGTAATGATAGGTAGTATATTGTTGCATATAACAAGTGTTCATTCCTAGAGGGAAGGCTGGTAACCTGCCATGTCAGAAGTAATTACTTATCTTGTATTCATATAACCAATTTTAAAGTATTTTTTTTATTCTCCCCACTTCACGATTACAATTTTGTGAATCTTAGTAATACTGTCAACACCTGAGGTATGTCAGTCTGTATTCTAATGGGAGGGCTCTCAGGTTTTCCTTTCCTTCTTGCCTGCTTTAATTTTCCTGTGTCATCGACACCATGCCTTTAGTTATCCCTTTCAACTTCTTTTCTTTCCCATATATGTTGACAATTTACCACATTAATCACATATCAGGGTTTGCTGTATCTGTATTGGTAACAATTACTGTTTTTCTAGGTTCATGTATTTTTTTCTATACTGAGGTCCTGTATATTTAGTAAACTTCTGTTTTACCAGCAGGGGCCTTTCCTTTCTCTGTGGTGCTGTTCCATGGTTTGGGGTGAACTTCAAGCATGTGTGTTCCTATGGGAAACTAAAAAGTGATTTTAGTGTCCATGATATGTATACAGTGGCCATCTTGTAGTGCACTCAATTTCACCTGTTACTTCACGACATGTTTCGGCAACATAGTGCCACCATCAGGTGCCCTAATTACGCTAAGCTATTGCATTGCTTGCCATTATATGTCTTTATAAAATTATTTAAAAAGTATTTAAAAAAGTGCGTATTCGTCAACTATAATAAATTGACACACTGTTACTTACGAAAACCCTTCATAGCATTAGATTAAATAACACAGTTATATAACAACACATGGATATAAATTCTGTAGAGTTCAATATTAGAGCTAGACTTCACCTGCAAACATAATTGTCGACTGAGGTTTGAGACACTCATAGCAGTGATTATGAAGATCAATATCCTTAGCAGTGTGGCACCTTGTAATCTGACATGAAGCTACCAATACACTGGAGGAACCTGCCACCTCTTCAGTGTCCCTGAAGTAGTAGTCATCAGACTCCTCCAAAACTTTGGTACCTCTCTACCAGACAACAAGACGCCACATCTCAGATAACAATCACCTAAGTCTCTGTCATGGAATTGTTTTACTAGGGCACACTCCACTGATAACAAGACTTATGAGAGATAAGATGTTCTCACTGCAATGAATATCAAGTTAACAGTCTTCTGGAATGTGACAACATACCCTTCCACAGCCAGGCACAAATATTTCACAGAAACACAATGCCTTCATCTTCCTTCTCGCCTGGATATGGAAGCAGCAGGTTTCTTTAAAATTTCGGTACCTGCTCAGTGTATTACATGGCGTCACATTCTAAAGGACCGTAATCTTATAGCATTCAATGCAGCAGTGAGAGGACAGACCAGATTGCACTAGTAACAGAAATCTCCTACTTACTCTGTGGAGAGAATGTGTCTTATGTGTCTTAATTAAAATGTGTGTGGTTCTTCCACTATGGGGGTCGTTTTCCTTATATTCTGTGTAAACCGTGTCTTGTGATGTGTGTTCCCTTTTTAGCTGCAAGTGTTGTAACATACTACATACCCGCCTACCTAACTAACTAACTAATTAACTCATGGAACTGAGTCCTTGTGAACCTGTCAGTCACTCACCTACTCAAGAATTTTCCAACATTTTATGGAACTTGGAGGTTCGTTACCATGTTCAAAAAGATCTGGTTAGTCCAATCTAAGCCTCCCCATCCTCTTTCTCTCAGATCCATTATAATATTATTTGCCTGCCTATATCTAGGTCTTCCTAGTGGTCTTTTTCCTTCTGGCTTTCCCACCAAAATCTCATATGCATTCCTCTTACCCCAATGTATTCCAAAGAATCCATCCAGTCTGAGGCCCTGTGTAACATTTCATAAGAAAATAAATGTTTTGATTGTGAGGAGTTCTTAGCCCCATGCCAAACACCAAAGCTGAAGGATTACTCCTTTTTGGCTGCCTGCGACTGCTTATTCAATATATTTGCAGCTACCCTACATGTCTAGCAGCTGTCTGCTCCAGCTATAACCCAAGGATACACTGTGCTTTGGTGACAAGGGACCCACTTAACATGGGTGGCTTCCTCTCACTGCGTGTACATGTGTGTCTAGGTGTTAGATGCGCAGGTCCTGGAATGCACTCAAGTACTGCTCCTGCTGTATGAGAGTAGTTGCATTAATTTAATTTTTGTCTTCCCAGAATAATAGTAAGTTTCAACCATAACAATAATGTGGAGAGCACAGATGTGCTATGACTGTGAAAACAAGAGTAGAAAGACTTTATGCAGTATGAAGTCCATATGTGGAAACAGTCAAAGGTACTTAGAACACTGCTTGTATTTTGATTTCCCCGTATGTGTATTATTGTGGCTAAAAAAAATAGGGGTAAAGACTTTTCGATTTGCCTTCGTACAAATCATATGTGTTACCATTTGAGCCAACTTGCTTGATGATGGGATTGTTGAAGCCTCATGTGTGTGTGTGCTGTAACAGTATTGAATGAAAGTGATGGTATATGCCAAGTCCTTATGGAGGTAGTATGTGATGTTGTGTTCTGTTATTGTCTCTTTTCAGCCAGATGTTCCTCAATTCCTCAGTCATCAAGTTTCAGTATTTTTTCTATATGAAGTTTTCCTTCTATAATATTTCAATTTAGTGGTTCTTTCGCTTTTGACCATTGCATTACAGTCAACAGCAATATGCATGTCTTTTCAAATTGTTGCAGCAACCATCTGGAAATTATGATGACAGTGGATATTTTTCAGTACAAGTCATCAGTAGTGCTCTTGAAGTATGGGGATTGGAGTTGATACCCTACAATAGCACTGAACTTAGAGCTTTAGAAGCACAGCAGTGTCCAGAGTGAGTAGCATCAAAAACAGGCTTTTACTTGGTTGGCATTTATCCTTCGTTTCATTATAACATGCATCTCATAATATTAATTTTCATTCATAATCATAGTACCTTAAACTATATTTAAATTATCATTCACAGGTAAATATTTATCATATGTATGCTGTGATTATTGTACATGCACTTACATACCCATGTTTGAATTATGTTAACACTCACAGATCTTTGATATTATTATAACGTGTTATATGTTGTCCATCGCTAAGCAACGAAAACGATGGAAATTGTTAAGTTCCCACAGCGACAAATCAAATACCAACAGGCTGTTATGTAGGAATATCCGTAACAATGAGCATTCACTGTGTAACAACCCAATAAAGGGGCTGTTGCGTAGGAACAGCACAGTCAACAAAAGCGTTTCCCCGGAGATTAAGACAACAGAGGGTTCATTGCATAACAGCTGATGAAACCGAACTGTTGAGAACGCTGTTCTCTATTGAGTCTGAAACTTGCCTATATAAAGGGTTGAATGCATTCACCGAGACAGTGAAGTTCCTGCATCTGTCGAAGACAGTGGAAGTTGAGAGTTGAAAGCTTTGTTTAAGTTGATAGTTTAGGCAGTAATTGTGATACCGCAAGTGACAATAATTGTGACACTGTAAAGTGTGGAAGTGTAAAAATGAAGTACAATAAATATTCGCTACATCCTTGACCAGCGTGAAGTTATTTGTCCTGTCACAGCCAACATGTGACAATATTTTGAAATATGACATAACACTCTGACTTGTTGTTCCCATCCTCTTCCATTTCCTTCTCAGTGTATGGGACAGATATGCCTCTGAACATTATTACTGTCTTGTTATCAGAATTTTATGAGTGGCTTCTAGCTCTTTGCCAGATTTGTCCAGGACCTGAATGAACAAGTACACTAATTTTATATATTTACCTCTGTCACATAACTTAAATGTGGAGCCACAGGATTTGGTATTGTGACATTTTTGTATAGTTAATCATCTTTTTCAGATACAAGGAGTGGGCCCAGTTTTGCCTATTTTGACACATTTAAAATTTGTACAGCCATTTCTTCCTTGGTCTCCCAGTTTCACAATGTTCAGTCGTTTGTAATTCCACACAGTTTCTGCTGGGCTTCTCAACATATGATCTCTCTAGCCTGCTCTGTGAAGCTTGTTTGCTCAAGAATGCTTTGTGCTTTTTATTTTTTCATTTAAATCAGTGTGTAAGTGTGTAACCCACAGTTCATCTCATGAACTGCATTTTAGCTGCTTATCTTGTTATTTGATCTGACCTTATTTGATATACAGTCATAAAATAATGATAGAATGAACCTTGTATAGATTTAACACTACGTATTTCCTTGCATGTTTTTTTCTTTTTACCTAAGGTATGCTTTATAGTGGCACAGAGGAAGCAGAACCTCTTGAGTTTCTCATCCATATCTCACTACTATTTCTGTAATATATTTCACAACTCATGTACTTAAAGGTGCATTTTCAGTTATCTTTCCAGTCATAACAATTCTCACTCTTCCTGGTTCAGCTCCAGAAAATTTTATGTAATTTTTTAGAGGAGGTGATCCGGTTTTGTTTCCAGCAGTCTTGTTTAATTTATAGATAGCTTCTTGTAATTTGTCTTCAGACTTTGTAGTAATCATGTGGTCATCAGTAAGCAGTAAAATAAGATCAGCTCCACCTATGACAAACTATGATTGCATCGTGTTCAGCCACTCATGGATAAGTTCATGTAAATAAACATGGAATAATGCAGGTGAAAGTAGGTACACTTGTTGCACACCTGCATTGATTTCTGCTGTCATTATGCCAACCTTCATAGTCTTGATCTTGATAACATTATTCAAATAGGAATTTCACAGTGCTTTTACAAAATGACATGGCAGGTTCGATTCTGTTGATATCAACCATAAAAGGTTCCTGTTTCCTGAGTCAGATGCCTTCTCAAGATTGGCAGCTGTAAAATGCAATGTGTGGGCAAGTGGAACTCTAGGATATTGCAAAAATAGTCTGAATACCCGTTCTAAATCCATGTTGAGCCTTCAATAAGATTGATTCTGCAATAACACATTATCATTTTGTTACAATTTATGATTTTGTTTTTAACCCTTTGGCGCAGTCATTTAAATTCCGCGGCCGCATCTCCGGCGGTAATATATTCAGCCGGCCATTTAAATTTTGCTCGAAAATGATTTATTCATCTTTGTTCTTAAATTCTATGAGATAGGAACATGAAACTTTCACTAAAATGATCTTAAAAGGTGGTTTTATAACCTTACCTTATAATATGGGCGCCCTGTATCTCGGCAATGGAAGCAGCTTGTTTAGTATTTGAGCAGTGAATGGTACGCCTTGAAGGATGAAACTTTCACTAAAATGATCTTAAAAGATGGTTTTTATAACCTTACCTTAT